CCTGCTACCATCTTCTCAAAATGGCCTGGCACAAGCCCAGCCCAGCAGAGTAGTGACTCTCCTGTAGTTTGTTGTGAGATGGACTCTTCCAGATTAATTAATAACTAGTACGATGCAGCCAAAGTAGCTGTAGCCCCATCCCAGAGGAGGAGGTGGCATCACATGGGGCTATCTTGCTGCTGATGTTTTTAAACCTGCCTCCTGGTAACGTGTTACTGTGTACCATTTGCCTGGTCATACGAGTCCTTACTAAATACCACATTCACATTCCTGATGGCTTTTTATTTTTTTAATTTTGTTTTAAATGCTGTTGCTACCTGTTTTACTGATTTTCTAGTAACTTACTCCTCTGAGAACCCAGGACTCTAGCCAGATATAGGGGCATAGAGGAACAGAATATCATAGTGCTTTGCTAGAGGTAACTAGGTTATAGGTTATTTGTGGGGAGGGGCATGATAGGGAGAGAACAAATGTGATCGGATGGAGGAACACTCCATTGTGGTAAGAAATGACATACTATTCTGGAACTGGCTTTAGATACCCAGGCTAAGTAGCTGCTTTCTGGAGTTCATTCCACCAACTGGTTCTAAGCGCCCTGGCGAAGGTTTGTGTGGTCAGGTCCTCTACTATATAAAAGCTGTTTGTGTCTCCTTGAGTGCTTCGGTTTGTGCTCTCAAGTTGCTGCAAAGAGACTGGAGTCAGACCTGCTGTAGCCGTGGCCTCAGGCTCCTGCTATCCCACGTAACTTTGGTCCCTCTGCTGGAACCTGCCAGCCTGGACTTGGTGGTTGTTTTCTTTTGTTTAGTGTGTACATTCAAGCTCTTCCTTGTCAGTCTCTGGCCTCAGTGGGAATCAGTCCCTGGCACCTCTTCGTCTCCTTTCCCAGTACCAGCTCAGTGTTGGTAGTCTTTGCTGTCTCTATAACTGACTATTCTCTGAAGCCTGAGCTTCGAATTTTGTAGGTATCAAACCTTTGTTGAGGAAGGGGATGAGGCAGTTAGAGCTGTAGGTGTGACCGGGTTCTAACCTCTCCTGGGAGTGGGGTTCAGTGGGTGAGTCAGTGCAGGGGCTGTCCAGTGAGGTGTATATGATGGTTTCTTCTGCCTTCTGCAGGTGATCAGGATAACTGGCTTCATGAAGGGCCTCTACACAGATGCTGAGATGAAGTCAGACAATGTCAAGGTAGGTTCTGCTGTGAGTTCCTTTCCTCCGCACCCTTGCCTTCAGGAGTAGAGCATGTTTTACAAGCTGCACACCACTATGTGTTCCATGCCTGTGCAGTTTGATGGGTAGAACACAAGGCTGATTTTGAGTTATGTATACATCTCTTGTTTCATTTTCTCTTTTGTGGTAACAGTATGCTATGCTAAATGATATTCTGAAAAACAGAATTTGGGGCTGGAGAGAGAACTCAGTTGGTTAAGGGCTTGCCATGCAAACATGCAGACCGCAGTTATATCCCGCAGGACCTGTGTGAAAAGCTGGGTATGACAGTGTATATTGGCAATCCCAGAGCTGGAGAGGTGCTTGGTGACCAGGTAGCCTAGGAAAATAAGTGAGCTTTAGGACCCTGAGACCCTGTCTCAACACACCAAGTAGATATATCCTGAAGAATGAATGACACCCGAGGTTGATCTCTGGCCTCCATATGCACACACACACTTGTGCTTGTACAACAGCCCCAACATTTATACCCACGTGTCTATGCACACACACATCTGTACACGTACAGGAGGAAAACAAAAAGGCAGAATTACAGCCAACTTTGCTGATGTATAGCTATAATCCCAGCACTAGGTACTGAGTCAGGAGGACTGCTGCAAGTTCAAGGCCAGCGTAGACTACATAGCGAGTACCCTCCAGGCAAGGATACAGCAAGATCCTGTCCCAAAACACAAAAGTAAAGCAAAGCAGACTCAGTCGCTGGACATGGTGGGGTACACCTGCTTTCCAAGCACTTGGGTGGCTGAGATGCATCACAAGTTTGAAGCTAGCCTGGGCCATGCAGGCCATATCTCAAAAACAAACAAAAGACCCCAAACAGATGGAGTGTTCTAGGTTAATGCTAGCCCATTAATGGCACTGAAAGCTTGAATGAGTAGACTTTGTTGTAAACAGTGAAAGTTCATAAAAGGTTATAAAAAATCAGAAATCCTGAATTTGTCATCCATCTAAAAATAGTTTTTCATGTAAAGAGGAACCATTCTGTGCCTATTGAATATACCGAGGGTCGTACAAATGCCTCAAAGTATTTATTTTAAAATCGAAGTTTTCCTTTAAAATGTTTTTTTTGAAAATTTCATATATTTTTACAGAGTATTTTGTTCATATCTGTCTACCACTGCCTCCCTCCTGCTCCCCTGGTGTTCCCTCCATTCCCTCCCTCCCAAGTTCATGGCTTCCTTTTTAAGGAAAAAAAAACCCAAAACTTCTGTGTGTGTGTGTGTGTGTGTGTGTGTGTGTCGTTAATGTGTGAGTGCAGTGCCTGTGGAGTCCAGAATAGGATGTCAGATCATTTGGAGCTAGAGCCACAGGTGGTTATGAGCCACCTGATATGGGTGCTGGGAATGGAAACTCGGGTCCTCTGTAACAACTTTCTACACAGCTTTCTACATTTCCAATTACTGAGTCATTTCTCCAGCCCTAAAGTATTTATTTTAATATTTGTCTCTTACATGGAAATATTTCAGGATAAAGATGCAAAAATTAGCTTCCTACAGAAGGCCATAGATGTGGTCATGATGGTCTCAGGAGAACCCTTGGCAGCAAAACCAGCTCGAATCGTGGCCGGGCATGAACCTGAGAGAACCAACGAGTTGCTTCAGTTGATTGGCAAGTGCTGCCTCAACAAGGTAGGTGGAAGCCTGCCTCTGGGAGCCTTCCTGGTAGGCAGCGCGTCCGAGACTGGTCGAGCTGGTGGGAAAGCTTTCCTCGTCCATGCTTGTGGAGCAGGTGGAGCAGGTGTGTGAGTGAGCAGGTCCTGTGCTGCTCTCTCCGGTTATTTGGGAATTGGTTGGCGGGACAGAAAAGTCCGCCGACAGAGAGCTGTCCAGTACCCTGACGACTGGGAGGACTGCAGAAGCCAGAATCTGCATCTGATGAGACTTGAGGGAGCTTTCTGTTGTGTCAAATCCAAGTGGCAACCGTCCTGGTCGTCATGCATTTGAGTGTGTGAATACATTAGTGCTCTAGTTTGAATACATTAGTGATGTGTGTCATCACTGTCATCTACGCTTCGTTTGCGAAACTAACGTTCTGTGCCCATCAGGTAAGAATGTACTCTCCTGTTCCTCCTACCTCAGTAACTATTTGTCCTTAAGTGGTAATATTTGTCCTTTCAGTAGCATGGCGTCCTCAGAGTTCATCCACTGTATGTGTATCGGGGTCAGTTTTCTTCCCACTTAGTTAGCAATACTCTGCTCTGTGGATAGACTACATTGTTTGTCCACTCGTCTGTCAAGGGACATCTGTGTTGCTTCTACTTGCTCACTGTCACAAACAGTGTCTCTCTGAACACAGGGTGGAGCTGTCTCTTTAGACCAGTTTTCAGTTCTTTTGCTGTAAGCCTGGGAGGGTGGTGGCCAGGTCATGCTGGTTATTCTGTGTCTGACTGTGAGGAGCTGCCTCAGTGTCTTCTGGAGGATGGCACTCTGCATCCCCAATGACTCACAGGCTCCACTTTTCCCTCATCATTCTTATAATTTAAATTTTTTGTTTTGTAATAACTGTACTAATAGATGTGTGGGGATTAGATCCTGGGATTCTGTTTGAAGACATTTGTAGTGCTATGTGGGTTACTGGAGCCACACCCATGTCCACACTGACATGTCGGGTAGAGGGGTGGTGGGATTATTAGCTTGGCTGTCAAATGGGGGGTTTTGTCACTACCATTTTATGTTTTATCCTCCAAATGTCCTTTACGGCGGGAAGAAAATCTGTCTAATGAACTGTCCTTGAGTGCTCCATTTTCATTGGTTGTCCATGCTGACATCATTTCCCCTTCCCTGACATGGCCAACAAGCTCTCCAGCGATGAGGCAGTGAAGAGAGTCTTAGCTGGGGAGAAGGGAGACTCGAGAGGACGGGCCGCACGGACCTCCAAAGCACCCGAGTCCGATAACAAGGGCATGAAGGAAGAAGAGTCCAGAACTCATAAAGAGGTGAGTGGTAGGCGGCGCATCTTCGAAGTAGCAGGTCTTCACAGTGTAAGTAAAATGTGAAAATGATGTCCGTGTCCGTTCGCTTTTCTTCAGGACAAAAGGAGCTCTGAGGGGAAGGAGAGAAGCACGAGCGCAGAGCACAAGCAGGAGGAACTGAAGGACGAAAACAAACCCCGGGAGAAGGAGAGGGACAAGGACAGAAACAGAGACGGAGAGCGGGAGAAAGCCAGAACACGGGCCAAGCAGGACAGGGACAGAAGCAACAAAGACCGGGACAGAGAAGCCGAAAGGGACAAGGAGAGAGACAGGAGGAGTGAGGGCGGGAAAGAAAAAGAGAGGCTGAAGGACCGAGACCGCGACAAGGGGAAAGACCGGGAACGGCGGAAAATGAAGAACGGGGAACATTCCCGAGACACTGACAGGGAGAAAAGCAGAGATCCAGACAAGCCAGAGAGAAAGGCATGGCCATGATTATGACTTTCTTTTTTCCTTTTAGATGTGTTATTATTTTTATGTTTATGGATGTGCTTGAGTGAGTGTATGGGCACCATGTATATGTAGGAGCCCAGGGGCCTGAAGAGGGCATCACGTCCCCTGGTGCTGGAGTTACTGGAGGTTCTGAGCTGCCTTGTGATTGCTGGGAAATGAACCCAAGTTCTCAGCAGGAGGCGCCAACTCGCGTAATCCTCCAAGCCCCAAGGCCCTTTCAGGGAGAGTGTGGCGTGCTCCCTAACACAGCATCTGTCCTCCTTTGCTTTTTTATAGATTTAGTTTTTAGTTTTCAAAATTTGTGTGAATGCATGTAATGTTTGCTGGAGGCACAGGTGGTTGTGAGCCGCCTGATGTGTGGGTGCTGAGAATTGAACTCTGCATCTCAGCAAGCATTAGCAGGGACTGTTGAGTCATCTCGCTGCTGCTGAACCTGCCATCTAGGAAGTTTGCCACTGAGTTGTAGCTGTCTTTGGTTCCATGTAGTAATTCAAAGAGATACCAGTTTTGTGTCAGGTATCTTAAATTTTTAAAAGCTTTATTAATTGTTATGTATGGGTGCACGAAATGGTTGTAAACGTGGGTGTGTCCATGCCACAGTGTAGAGGCCGGGGAGAACTTTGCGGAGTTGGTTCTCCTAACCTTTATGCTGGGTTCTGGAGCTCTAACTCAAAGTGCTGGGTTTGCATGGAAAATGCTTTTGCACACTGATCTGTCTTACTGGCATAGTTTTTAAAAAACTTTAAATATTTTTGTTACTTATTAATAGTAGTTCAACCATTTAACTCAGTATTATTCAGGAAGCTTTCAAACATTGAAAATATCCTTAAGCATATACTTTGTGTGTTACTTCCGTTCACTGTTGAATTCCTGGTCTAGTAGACTGCCGGCACATAGTAGGTGTATAGTAGACCTTAGGTGAAGGAATGAGTCAAGCATTGGGCAAGGGATAGATGGCTTTTTCGATCTTGAATCTTTGGATGGCACCGATCAGTTCATAGCAGCTTTTGAAGTGTCTGGGAATTCAGAGAGGGAGCCAGGAAACACTGCTGCCAAATGTCTCCTGTCCTCAGAGTGTAGCGTTTGCCAGCTCCCTGCCAGACAGAGAGCTGGTGTGCTGTTGGCCTTGCTTTGTCTTGCTAGATGATGCCAGGGTCGCTTGTCTGCTGCCATTTGCAAATTGTGTCATTTGCCACATATCCAGGCGTGGTCTCCCTTGGTGTGTGGACATGACTGAGCTTATTAAGGATTTGAGCTACTTTCACAGTTTCTTTACGCATTATAATTGTCTTAAGACTCCCATTTTCCTGTACTTCCTGTTTAATGATTTTTCAGGTAAAATCGAGGTTGGCCAGGAAACTCTCCTGATTCTCATGGCTTTCTGAATGCAGGTGCCTAGTCAGTTCTCTAGTCAGTTCTCTCTGCTGTGACAAACAGCTCACAAGAAACAGTTCTAAGAAGGTTGGGTTTCCTGTTGTTTGTGGCTCCAGTGTGTAGTCCATCCCGACAGAGAGGACTCGACAGCAGGCCCTGGAGACATGGAGTCCCAGAGCAGTTTGCCTTTTCTCTCATAGCCCGTGAGTGATGCTGCCCATGGTCTGCAGGTCTTCCCAGTTCAGTTAAATCTAGATCGTCCTTCATTGCATATCCAGAGAACCCTCTCATAGGTGGCTGGAGCCCAGTGTGCATGAAGCATCTTCGAGGGGCTGAGAGTCCACCTGCTTGCAGCTGCTGACCAGAGGGCAGCCAAGATGTAGGCTGGCCCGAAACCTACTGATGGCAGTCATCTTGCTCTGAGCTGCAGCGAGGTGACTGTCTGGGAGAGGAGTGGACTTTGTAGGACCAGCCGTGCCAGTGTCCTGTGACTGCCTGTCTGGGTGTCAGCGTGTTCCCTTTTCTAGATCTGGTGTGGTGAGGCTGTGTCACTTTGTCGATGGTTGTGTTTAGTGTTCTCTTCTAGTGTTTAGTGTTCACACTTACTTGGGTGTTTGCTATTTAAGTCACATTTTAACTTCCCACACACATCCTGGAGTGATGTACCCAGTGTCATAATGTACCTGTGTCATGGTAACCTGGGTTCCTTGATGACTTTGGGAAATGAGCTATTTCCTCTCATTACCTCTAAGGAAGTATTTTTCATTGAGCTGTGTTTTGAGAGGCACAAGTGTATTCTGCTGTTTTCCAGCTATGTGAGGCAGTCCCTCACACAAACGGCCTTCCTCAGGCCTGACTCCAGATCAAGAATCCGCATGCCCTGCTCACTGAAGCTACTGCTGAAGGGCTGTTCCAGAGAGGAGTGTTTGTGCAAGAGCCAAACACAAGTGATGGTTTCGTTTCAAAGGCTGAAAAACCATAGTCAAGTGAAGTTCAGTTTGCTGAGACCTCCTGGTGTTTCTGTTCATCTGGCTCTTCTGCTATTGATCTGGGGGTGCTTTTATTGTGCGCTGTGGGTCTTGGAAGCCAACAGTGAAGTTTCCTGTGGCCAGAAGTGCCATGCAGATGTGACATCCCTCACAGAGGACCCCCTAGTGTTTTTCTGCAGCCACTCCCACTCTGGCCAGTTCCCAGGCCCTGCTCTTTTACTGTCTAGAAGGAGATGTTCTCAGGCTGCCCGGTGGACTTCTGTGAAGAAAGGTGCAAACGTGTGTAATCAACGGGGCTCCAGGGTGGGTGTAGTCAGCGGGGCTCCAGGGTGGGTGCAGTCAGCGGGGCTCCAGGGTGGGTGCAGTCAGCGGGGCTCCAGGGTGGGTGCAGTCAGCGGGGCTCCAGGGTGGGTGCAGTCAGCGGGGCTCCAGGGTGGGTGTAGTCAGCGGGGCTCCACGGTGGGTGCAGTCAGCGGGGCTCCAGAGTGGCATTAGAGCCTCACTGCTGGCTCAGCCTTTGCTGGGGCCTGGCCATCGACTCGTTGCCTCTCTGAGACTAAAAGCTATGGCTGTGAAGGTTGAGGCTGACCTGAATTCAGCAATTACTAATGATTCCGTTCCATTCCACACTTTCACCATGAACTTTAGTGATGTCAGTTTGTCTCCTTTTGCCTGGATCTCAGAGAGCTGGTTTAAGTAATAAGATGGAATTTACAGTACTCACTTGGTTCCCGACAGTATTTTCACTGTAGCTGTGAGGAGTCCTTCCATTCTGCAGTTACTTCATTATCAAGAGACACCCAGAAGACAGGAGTGAGTTTACAGTCACACCACCCCTCACTTCTGGATCCCGGATGTCCTGTGTGATTTCCTGAGAGGCCCTACCTACCTGAGGGTGTCTCTAGATCTCCACAGTTTTCTTGAAAGACTCTGGAACTTCTCGGTAGAATAACATGGTTCTCAGACCTGGAGTGGCAATGTGCTCCTGTGTGAGAAGTCCTTTGTGTTCCTCAGTGTCATGTACTGTATCTCAGTGCTTTGCTTTTCGTTGTTAATATTACAGATTTTAACAATTCTTCTTTTTATAGTCAACAAGCTCAGGGGAGATGCCTAAAAAGTTGTCGGATGGATCCTTCAAAGATGCCAAAGCAGAGATGGAGGTAACGTTTAAAAACAAGATTTTCTGTCTGTCTGTCTATGTTTGCTTTCTGTTGCCACACTAAAACCTACCTGGGGGAGGTAAAGGTTCATGTGGTGTATACTTCCACATCACAGTCTATCATCAGAGGAAGTCTGGAGGCAGGACTGCGGCAGAGAGTAAAGGAACACTGCACACTGCCTTGCTCCCAGACTCTCAGTCGGCTTCTCTGTAGTCTGGGCCTACCTGCTGGGGATGGCATTGCACACGTCAATCAGCAGTCCAGAAGGTACCCCACAGACATGCTCCCACACCATCTGATGGTGCTTCTTTCCCTCTTTCTTTCTTTCCTTTATTTCCTTCCTTCCTTCCTTCTTTCTTTTCTTTTCTTTTCTTTTCTTTTTTTTTTTTTTTTTTGAGATAGGGTTTCTCTGTATAGTGCTGGCTGCCCTGGAACTTGCTCTGTAGACTAAGCTGACCTCAAACTCAGAGAGCAGCCTGTCTTTGCTTCCTGAGTGCTAGGATTAGAGATTTGTACCATTACACCTGGCTCATGATGGAAGCAATTCTTAAACTGAGGTTTCCTTTTCTCTGGCTTCTCTAGTATGTGGAAAGTTGACAATAAAAGCCAGTATTATGTGTGTATGTGCACATGCTTGCATGTGTGTGTGTGCATGTGTGTGTATTTGTGTGTGAAGCATATGTATGCACACATGCATGTATGTGTGTATACGTGTATGCAAAATGTGTATGCATGCGTGCATGTGTGAGTGAATGTAGCCATTTGTCTGCCATGCTTTGTGTGTGGAGATTAGAGGACACTTTTAAGGTCAGTTCTCTCTTCCACCTTTTTTGAAACAGGATCTTTGTTGTTTTTCTGATTTATGTCCCAGGCTAACTGGGCCATGTTTCCTGGGGTTCTCCTGTCTTCACCTTCCATCTCTCTGTGGGAACAGAAGGATTATAGACACTTGTGCCATACATCCAGCTTTTCTGTGGATTCTGGAGTTCCGAACTCAGGCCTTTATGCTTGCGAGGTGTTTTAGTTACTTTTCTGATGCTGCGATGAAAATCCCCTGACAAAAGCAACTTCAGAGAGAAGGGGTTTAATTTTGTTCACAGTCTGTCATAGCAGGGAGGACGTAACCACAGGAGCTTAGGGATCTGATTATAGTTTTCAGCCAGTGACAGGTGCCACTAACAGTGAGGTGGGGGCATCTTTCCATCTCATTAATCTATCCAAGATGACCCCACAGACACGCCCAGAAGCCCAATTCCCAGGTGGTTGCGTTTATCAGGTTGGCAAATTGAGCTGAAGGATCATTTACACTCACTGAGTCATCTTCCCAGCCCCTGAGGAACAGTTTTAAGAGATGTCGGTTTAGACTTGCATCGAAGCTGTGGAGTGCTCTGATCTCTCTGGTCTGCTGGGCCTGGGCAGAGAGGGTGTTGTGCTACCTTGTGTGCCTGGCTTATCACCTGCTGGGCAGGTGGGATGGCATTCTGTGGGCCCTTCCAGGTTTATGCACATCTTTGCATGACAAGTCTAGTATGTGTAGATCATTTGGGGGAGATGGTGGAGGTGGCTTCCAGGGACAACCAGGTAGAGGGATCCATCTAAGCTCTGCCTGGTGAATTTCAGACCCTACAATGTGTCTTCTGTAGCTGATGCATAATCATGGTATCATCCCTTTGTAGGCCATCTTGGGGAGGCTAGATTCATCATAGGTATTTTTTGTTTTGTTTTGTATTTTTCGAGACAAGGCTCTCTGTATCTTTGGTGCCTCTCCTGGAACTAGCTCTTGTAGACCAGGCTGGCCTCGAACTCATAGAGATCCACCTACCTCTGCCTCCCGAGTGCTGGAATTAAAGACATGCACCACCACCACCCAGCTTCATCATAGGTATTGAGGGACCATTGAAGAGTTGAAAACAACTTCCATAATTCATCTTGAAGTATTCAGAACCAGGAGATGCAGGCAACTATAGCAGGGCTGGGGAGGCCATGGGGCTATTTGGAGATGAGAGTGTTAGACTGTGCCAGGTAAGGTGGGGGGGGGGGGGGGAGGGATGGTGGACGAGAAGATAGAGAGGATGAGGAGGTAGGAGGGAGGGAGGGACTGGGGGGGGGGACTGTACTGTTTTTTTTTCGGACTCCTTTTTTTTTTTTTGGTTGTTGTTTTTGTTTTTAAACCACGCTAGAAGGTATTACTCACAGAGTTCTGTACAAATCCATTACTGTAATTGAGTGCGGTCATGTACTCTGTGTGACTTCTTGGTCAGTGATGGGCTGCATCTAAGAAGGGGGCCTGTAAAGCTATATTGCTGATTAACCCTATGACATCTTAGCTTGTGCAAATGCTTCCCCCTGAGGTGTTGAGCCTCTGAGGAAATCACCTGCTGCACAACACAGTTTTTTTTTTAATATTTATTCATTTATTATGTCTACAATATTATGTATGCATATGTATGCCTACAGGCCAGAAGAGGGCACCAGACCTCATTACAGATGGTTGTGAGCCACCATGTGGTTGCTGGGAATTGAACTCAGGACCTTTGGAAGAGCAGACAGTGCTTTAACCGCTGAGCCATATCTCCAGCCCCTGCACAGCACAGTTTGACAAGTGTCTTATCCTTCAGCCTGGGACTGTGTAGCAGCAGAGGTAGGCTCCTCATAGGCACATCTCACAGTTTCCCAATCAGTGGCTCAGACGGATCTACGTGCAGGGCGAGGAGGTTGATCTCTCCTTCTCACTTCAGGTTCGAGGCTATAGTCACATGGGCTGGTGTGGTCCCTCAGGCCAAAAGATGTGTCCCGTTACACTCTTCCAGCATAGCATGAAAAGTAAGTTCTGATAGAATCGATGTACAATGTGCCAAGTAATTCTTGTCTTTCTCTTCTTTAAGGCTGAGGTTTCTGCAGGAGCATCCAGGTCCTTGCCATCAAAAACATCAAAACGGCGATCCAAGAATTCACTGGAAGGTACTGCAAAGCTGCCTGTGCACGTAGCTGGAATGGAGGCCGGCCTTTGTGTCTGGCCAGGGGTAGTAGCAGGGAGCCTTGGGGAGCACAGCACTGCCACACACTGGGGAGGGGGGTGTAGACGCTGAAACTGGAAACTGTGGCTTCTGCACATATCCACAGAGGGGCGTGAGTGTATACATGCAAACTTGTGGTCCCAGGGCAGGAGAACCTCTTGAAATCTGATGGGTGCGTTGAACTTCCTTTCAGAATTACTTGTCAGCTGTCTCAGTCTCATTGCTCTTCTGCTCTGGTAGAAGAGTTTAACCCTGTTGCAGATCAGACACAGAGAGCCCCCAGGCAGATGCTGTTGCACTTAAAGAAGGAATCTTGTTGAGAGCTAGCCTCACAGGCCTGGACTGGAATTTGCTTAGCAGACAGAACAGGAGAGCTTGGGGATCCTGGGACAGCCGCTAGTGTTGGAGGCTTACGAATGTCACTGAATTATGAAGTGGCTTTGGCTGAGCAATGGTAGTTTTGGAAGAATTATGTTCTTCCTAGCCTGTGACATCATAAGTGATAGGAGTATGGTGGTTGGGGTTTTTCACTCAGTAGTGATGCCTTGCCTAGTTTGTCATGCTGTGGTGACATTTTATGCTAAAAAGCCTTTTCCTATGTGTGCCATCTGTGGCAGAAGCCCACAGGGACAGTTGCTGGTATAAGGGCAAGGGTGATGTTAGGCCTTAGCCACAGGACTCCATGGACAGACACTTCCTTCATCCCTTTCCAGTGCTTCAAAGCTTTCCAGATGTTTCAGGTAAATGTGGGAACATAATTCCTAGTGAGACTGCATTTTCCCGTGGTGGTAACTTTTTGGTGGCTCTGGTGCAACTACGTCAGTGACCTGACTCCTCCACAGTCCAGTGGGGGTGGTCATTGGCACACACTCCTTGTTAGGATGTCTACAATGTTTAAATGGTCTCTTCTGGTTTTTTAGTTCTTTTTCCCTTGGCTTGGTTTCTGACTTTCTGAGCGCTTAATATTTTAGCTTCTTGCAGTTCTTGGTAATGTGTCTAGAGACATAAAGATTGGTTTTATCAGACATTTTTACTATTTTACTATTTAGTCTTTTAAATACATTCCTCATTGTAACTGACAATGTAAGCTGATGCTCTGGATTGTTCAGGATGGCATCCTGGTGAACTGCCCCTCCCTGGTCTCTGGGACATGTCTTCTCTTACTAACTGCCTTTTGCTGTTGCTCTTTTAAAAGAAGTTTTATTTAAATTGTACTGTTTTGATGTATCTTTACAAATTAAAAAAAAATTGTTTTGAGACAAAGTCTCACTATATAGCCCTGGCTGGCCTTGAACTCAGAGATTCCTCTGCCTCGGCCTCCCAGACTGCTGGGATTAAAGGTGTGTACCACCATGCCTGGGGTGTTTTATTTTGTTTTTTTCTTCAGTTAAATTTCTTCCAGATAAATGAATTTAAATCACCCTATCACGTATGCTTACCCTGCGGCCAGGAAGTAGGTAGACGTGTGTTAGCTGTGTTTCCACAGTTTGGAAAGTCCTGGCTGTGTGTGGTGCTGGAGAGTCTTTCATTTGAGGCAATTGGTGATACCTTGTATTGTTTTAATTTTATATTGGGAGCCCTGTTTTCTTTCTCATCTTGGTTTTTCTTGGTGGTTTTGTTTGAGACAGGGTCTTGCTATGTATCCAGCCTCAAACACACTTTGCAGCCCAGCTCACTTTGCACTTTGCTGCCTCAGCCTCCCGAGAGCGAGCATTACAGGTGTGCATTCCACACTCTCTCTTCTAATACTTATTCCTTTGTCAATGCTTAGTGACACTGTCTCTCTTTTCCTTTTCCTCACCCTACTCTGGTAAATACTCAGAGAATTTACCATCAGGGACTTGCAAGAATTCTGACTGTGAGCTTCACTGAGCTGGTAGCAGCTTGGTTGGTTTTTAGCTGCTCAGCCTCACTGACCAGGCACTGACTCACCAGAGGCCCTTCCCTCAGCAAGGCTGGCACCACACCAGACATTCTGCCTTTCTTGAGTGGGTCATCATTTGAGCAAATGTCCTGACTCAAAGTTGCCCAGGACACAGGGCTTGGGTGTTTGGTTCACAGGGTGAGCCTTGTATCCTATAAAGAACTAGGGATTCAGGAATGAATAGACTTTTAGGCTATTCTGGAATCACTGTAGCACTTAAGAGACATATGAGAATATGGCACTTTTACTTATTCAGAAACAGTTCAAAATATATATGTATGTGTATATACATACATACATATATACATATATTCATATATCTATGTATTTAGAACTTACTGAATTCATCTTAGTTCCTTTGCTTGGTAACTGCAGCATTTGTAAGTTTAACACTTATTTCTATTGTGCAATTTCATGTCAGGAAGAAGGGACTCTAGAGCCAGTGAACATAGCCTTTCCCCTGAGAAAGAACATAACGCTTCCTACCATAAAGCTAAGAAGGACCATAGCACGAAGCAGCTAGGTAAGATCATTCGAGCAGTAGTGAAGCTGGGGAGGGAGTGTCTGTGAGTGGAACTAGTCAGTGTCTGGTCCTTTGTTCTGAGTGATTTCTGACCACAGTGGGTGGCCACTCAGTGCCTGCTCCTGTTTGATATCAGGCCTCATCTCCAGAGTGTTTCCCCAGGTTACCGTAGATGGGGAAGAACTGTGGGCTCTGCCAGGCTGCCACAGTGCGCTGCCACATCCAGCTTTATGTCAGCCATGGACTGAAGTTGCCCATTTGAACCTTCCTTTCTTTCCTGGGCAGAATCTAAAGTATAAAGAGCCTGCTGGAATGCAAACCTGTGTAAGGGAAAGAAGATGAGTCCAAGAGAAGCAGCAGTGAGGGACTCAGGCAAGAAGAGCCTCAGGGAGCTGGGGCATCAGCTCAGAACTGCCTTGTAGCAGGCCCCGAGGAGAGACTGTGAACTGCTGCAGGCTTACATGCATGCGTGGCAGAAGCCCAGCAGTAGACTAGAGTGGAGAGAGGGGCAGTGGTTGGAGAAGGGCCCACATCAGCTGGCAGGGCCCAGAGAAACTGTCCTCTTGACTGTAGGGGCTTCAGGTGTGTGCAAAAGGCCTTGGTGGATTTTATACAGGGTAGAGATGAGACTTGGCTCTGCAGGGTGGGAGTGGAGGCCAGAAAACATTGAGAGTTTGTAGCATTGAGAGATGGTGGTGTATGATGAAATGATGGCGGCTCATCCCCAGAGCCATGGTGGGAGCAGATAGGAGTTAGGGATTCGGCAGTACACATGATGGATTGGATGCCACGAGTTAGAGAAGAAAGGACTCAAAGGGAAGACCCACCTGGGAGACTTGGTGCTGGTTGGTGGGTTAGATGGCAGTGCCAAGAACTCTGGGACAATCAAGTTTGCAATGTCTGAAGCAAGCAGAGGTGTGCATGTGTGCGTGCACAGACTGTGAGTCAGTTAGAGCGTGGTGAGGGAGTCAGAAACAGGAGGAGACTACAGAGGCATGCTCTTAGTCTGCAGTGATGGGCACAGTGTGGCTTTAGGTGGTCCTGAGCCCAGATGCAGGGAGGAGCAGAGAGCCTGCCAAGACTCAGATTGGAAGATGAAACAGAGGAAAGGTTGGCGAGGGTATCCTGAATGCCAAAGGAAGGGCATTGGAGAGGACATTAGTCTCCTAAGGGGTGCCTGGGCCAGGTGAGAGTTGAACACTGGATGCAGTCCATTGGTGACCTTGGTAGTAGGCCCTGTAAACCCTAACTAAAGCAGCCCAAATACAAACGACTCTCAGCATTTTAATCTGCTGTTAACTGTTTTATGTTAGGAAGGAAAGAGGATAATATTTCAGCTAAGATTTTAGACTCCATAGTGTCGGGACTAAATGACGAACCAGATCAGAAAGCGACAGCTTCAGAAATAGGTAAGAGAAATGCACCCTTCAGTTTGACTCCTGGTTTTGATACAAAACAGTTCCATGTTGATAGCGCTGTTAAGAGAGACCGTCCTTCAGTCTAAATTCTTTATGATTTTGATACAAAATATTTACGTGTCAGTGTAGCTATGGATTATTTTTATTCTAAGCACTTTATTGCTCATCATAGTTTCCTCCTATGTACTGAGGATCAGATATGACTTACCTTTCAGTTTTATTTAATTTGCTAAGTTACATGATAATTTTTTTAAGCAAGCATGCAGTAAATCTTTAAGCCCCCACCCCCACCCCAAATTTTTCCCTTCTTTTGAGACAGCATCTCATTCTATAGCCCAGGATGGTCTCAAACTCATAGTGATCTTCCTATCTTAGATGCTGGGATTACAGATGTGTGTTACACTTACACTTAGCTACATGCCTTTCTGTATATTACATGTACATGTTAATACATGCATTTGACAGGCATGATGTATGTGCATAGCATGTAAGGTGTAAGTCAAGACATTTTGCTCATCTTTTTGTTTTGTTTTTTAAGACAGGGTTTCTTTATGTAGCCCTGGCTTTCCTGTAATTCCCTCTTATAGACCAGGCTGGCCTCAGATTCAGAGATCCACCTACCTCTACCTCCTGAGTGCCACCACCACCCTGCTCTTGCCCATCTTGATGCTGAAGTTCAGTGAGATAATGTGATGGCTCCATAGAGGAGTTACAGTTTATATCCCACCGGCTCTACTTTGTTTCATTCACAGTTCTCTACTATTAAGGCTTTAACAGGTGGGTTAGTGAGCTGGCTCAGCAGGTAAAGATGCCTTCAGCCATTCCTGGCAACCCAAATTTGATCCCTGAAACCCACATGGAGAGAACTGGCCCCCACAGGTCATCCTTTGACCTCCACATGTGTGCTGTGGCCCACACAGATACACATGCACACACCACACTCTAAATGTATAAATTCTTTGAGGCCTTAAAGAGCATGTCTGCATGCATTGTGATAGTCATTACAGTTAAAGCTGGAGAGGAACAGAAGTGTGCAAGGTCACACTCACTGCCAGGCACTCTAGTTTCCTGTAGCTCTAACGCACATTGTTTAGAACTAGAATCTTTAGAAACAGAATCCTTGAATTGCTCTCAACACCAATTTTGATTTTAGGAGAAGATAACATTTTTCTGGGTTTAACCTGCCTTATACCTACCAGATTTTGTACAGTTTGTTTTTCTTTTGTGTGTATTGTCTGTATACGTGCACATGTGTGCTTGTGGGGGGGAAGAGGTCCACATTTGAATATCTCCTGCTGCCTTTTTCCTCTTTTTTTGATTTATTTTTACTTTTGTGTGTATTGGTGTTTTGCCTACATGTGTGTCTGTGTGAGGGTGTTGGATCCCCTGGAACTGAAGTCACAGATAGCTGTGAGCAGCCATGTGGGTGCTGGGAATTGAACCCCAGTCCTCTGGGAGAACAGCCAGTGCTCTTAACTGTTGAACCATCTCTCCAGCCCCTTTATTCCTTGTTTTTGAAACAGGGTCTTAATTTCTTTCAGACTGGTTGGCCAGGAGGCTCCTGGTATTGGCCTGTCTCCATGTCCCTGGTGCTGGGATTATGGGAATGTTTCATCCTCCCTGGCTTTTTATGTAGGTTCTAGGTGTCCAGGCTCAGGCTTGCATGCTGCACAGCAAACAGTGCCATTCTGAAAACATGAATGGTGGCAGGCTTATCTGTGCATGGGGTTCTCCTGGAACTCACGTCTTTGAGAGGGATGTTTGGACCATTCTGTTTCCTTATTGGTGAGAAGATGCCATGGGAAAGTCGTCTGTGGCTTCTCCAGGCTGTCAGTCTTGGTTGGTCAGATACAAGACTCTGAACTGGGGCAGTCAGTGTTCTTTCTGACACTGTAGCCCCATCTTGTAATAATGTTTATTTTGTAAAGAGCTTTTCCCATCTGTCAATGCGAAGGTGGATGCGAAGGTGAGAGCCGGGAGGGCATCTTTGCCTGTTGAACTCCTCACCCAAGACTAGTGGATGACTCCCACCTCTTCTGCTTATCCCCCTGGCCCGGAGCAAGCTGTCAGGTGGTTCCCTGAGCCATGTTCTTGAGCCTTTGTGTTCCTCATTGCTTTGGGTCTGGAGAAAGCTGCTCTCAGAGTGAGATGTAATCTATTGAAGACTGACAGCTCAGTGGGACCGTTGAGTTAAAATAAATCGAAACCATTCTTAGGCTTATATTGAACAGTTATGAATCTTTATCTACATGTGTGAAAACCTAAGTTCTGTCCTTAAGAAGTGCAAACTGTACGGTTGAGAGTTCAGTAGCTTAGAGTGAAACCTGATGCCCCCTGCTAGGTGAGCGTGTTACTCTCACACTGCCCCCTAGTGGGGTGGTCAGGGTGTGGCTCCTATGCTGCCAGTGGGTGGTAGGGTTGATACTGTGGATTTAGATAGCAATGGTCCCAACAGAGTCCTGGTGTGGAAGTACCCCAGGCATCTCTTCCCCAGCCTGTCTGCCATTGAGTCCTGCTGCTACATAAGCCAGGAACTAGCTCTGTGCCACCTGCCTGGTTGCCATCACAGTCACTAGCACTGTCTTCCAGCACAGTTCTTTTGGAATTGAGAATTTACCAGCAGCTATGGATTCTCCAGTGCCTTGCATGAATATGATTTCCAGATCCAGTGTCCTGATGTCAGCTGAAGGATCCTTTCCCTGTGACAGACTTTTATTCCTAGTTCAAAGAGAAACCTGGCCCAGGCTGGCTGGGGACTCAAGATCCTTCTGCTTCTGCCTGCAGGAGCTGAAATGGCAGGTGTGCCAACATGCTTGTCTGTGTTTTCAAAGAAAGCCGCCAGCTGCTGGCTGGCCAGTCCTTGCACATGACAGTTCTACTGTGGCTTGCCAGAAGGGAGTGGGTGGGTTTTGTTCCCATTCCACTTCTTCAGGTGTGTTGCGCTCACAGGAGTCTACCCATGTGCACCTGCCTCCTGCATGCTTGCTGTAGTGCGAGCCTGCACCATGTTTGCTGGTCTCCAGTCGCACACTTCCTGGCTTTTCTGGTGCATTAAGGTTTATTTTACCTCACTCATTTTGTTTCATTGCTATTATTAAAAATACAGCAAAGTACAGCAGTGCAGCTCACCCAGTGCCTAGTGAAGTTTAAACCCTTTATGCTTGCTTTTCCTTAGCTGTGGAATTTTAGGCACAATTACAATGTACAATAGAAACATCTTGATAATTTTCTGTAAACACTTCAGGATGCAGCTCCCAAATCCAGCACAACAAAAAAGACATTCTCTGACATAACAACTTTGAACAAAATTATTTTCTGATGATCATTTAAAATCCAAGCTGTGTTGTAATTTTTTTTAAAATTATTTTCCACTGTTTGAAAATGCGGTTATGCAATCAGATTTAACAGCAGCCCTGTGTGTTAGCTAACACCTGTGCAAAACCACTAACACAACATGGCGGTAGTAAAGACTGTTCAGAACACCGGGAGAGTGCGGCTATAATCCTGCCTGGAGCTGAGTCCTCAGGACCAGTGGAAAGAACTGACTCCAGAAGGTCGCCTCTGCCTGCCATGTGCTTGCCCACACCCATGGGTTACATCTCTCACCCAAATAATAAATACAATTTAAAAAGCTAAAGAGGACCAGTGGAAGCTGAGCATAGTGGTGCCTGCTTATAATCCCATCACTTGGTGGGGGAGGCAGGAGGATCTGGAGTTCAAGACCAACCCTGGCTGCATGTTGAGTTCAGGGGCAATGTGGGCTACATCAAGCAAACTTGTGTCTTAAAAACAAAGCAAAATAACCTCGCTCCAAAAACAGTAAAAGCAAAGAAACAAAACCCAACAAAACAAAACCAGTGGAGCTTGAGAAGGGTAAGATTCTAGAAGTGTCTGAGCTGAGAGGTAGGATGCTGAGGATGCTGGTCTAGAACATACCAGGTGAGGCCAGGCTTGGATCCCACCACCATCACCCCCAAAAGCAATAAACTAGATTTGATTAGTTTATTGGCAGGCAGACAGACAGAACAGAGCCCCAGTGCTGTGGCTTCCCACAGACCCACAGACAGTGGTGTATTTGCACTTTTCACTGTGATGCTGGGTTTTGTAGACCAGAAATGCTGGCACTTACCAGGGCAGTGAGGCAGCTCGGCCTGAGTGGGGCTGGTGCAGCTGGCAGTCTGCAGCTGCTGAGCTTGCTTGCTCTTAGGTCTTAGAATCTCATGCTCACTCCTTGGCTGTGCTCTATGGAACGTTTGTAGTTCTTGGTCACTTCATTCAGACTATTAGGGTAGGTGTTTTTTGTTTTTTTTTTTTTTGGTTTTTCAAGACAGGGTTTTTCTGTAGCTTTGGAACCTATCCTGGAACTAGCTCTTGTAGACCAGGCTGGTCTCAAATTCACAGAGATCCGCCCAGATTGAATAGTTTTAAGAAGTTACACAGTTGGATTTTAGGAAGCAGACTTTTCTCAAGGGCCCTTGAGTTGAGTCAGTTTCAGAGTTGTGCCCGCGTCCATGCACAGTCTGCTCTCTGAGCCCCTCTCTCACCCTTTTGTTTTTAATATGGGAAGTATTTACTCCATACTATGACCTTTTTCCATTTTAAGACTTGAACATTAGTGATCAACTGACAGTATTTGGGACTCTTTAATGTATTGAGGGATGTGTACCACAACACATTTGCTCTTTCTTTCCTGATGTGCTGGCTGCATGAAGCTTGGCTCTCAGGCCTGGCTTGTAGGAGCCGGTATAAGTGGTTCTAGGGTGGGAGGAAGGGCCAGTCCTCTTGGGTGGGGCGTTCCCTGATCCCAGCTAACCTGAGGTCCAGGCCACGCTCACATCCCAGAGCCGCATGTTCTTAGAAACCACCCTTGTCATCCTTGGCATGTGATAGTTGTGAAAACACAGATATGCAAGTGCTTGGCAGGCTGTTAGTCTCTAGCCCTGAAGGGCGCAGTTTTGTGCCCAGCTTTGAACTCTTTATGTCAGGATCTCAGAGCCAATACTAACTGAACTAGTATTTCAGATGATAACTCAGCTAGTCTGTGGCGGGAGAGCGCTGAGCCAGAGCCAACAGTAAAACAGAAAGGTAAGAACGACCCCTTCACAGCTCTTGGTGGGAGGAGAGTAAGCGACATAGGCTGAGTATACCCTGATGTGGCAAGGGAGACATGCCTGTCTTCCCCATAAAACAAGGTCATTGCTTGGTAGCACAAGCAGGACTTTTATGGGCCCAGTGTGAAGTGGTGGCATGTATGACACTGACAGTGTCATGAATGGTCTCTAAAACAGGCTCCAGGGCCACTGGTCAGAGCTCTGCAGGCCGCTCCTGTTCAGAGGACTTTAGACCCAAGACTGTGGCTGCTGCTTGGTCCTCTTCTGTGGTTCCTGCAGTCTCCAGATGCACCCTTCAGAGGACCGCAGGGGAATAGCCCTCGGTTTGTTCTTAAAGGTTGGGGACCTCCAGCAGGCTGGGCTTGTGCCGGGGCTGCCATGGTGGGGGGACAGTGGTTGCCAGCTATGTTAAATAGAGAATATTTGTCTGAGAGCAAATATATGTCAGGACCAAGGCAGGAAATGCATGGGAGAGAGAGTAGGGCCACAGGGGCCACTTGTCCTGGCATTGGTGCAGGAACTGAGATGAGGCTGCGAATGTGGGGGAAACACTGCACAGGAGGTGATGGAAGGAGAGTGGGGGAGGACCTGAGGTGACCTGGGAAACAGGAGACCCTACCAGCCTTCCCGACAGAAAGTGCTGTGTTGGCTGGCCTGGTGTAGCAGAAGTATGCAAAGAAACAAGTGGGCCTAGGAGAGGAGAGGGCGCAGCCAGGTTCTTCCCGACTTCAGGTGGCCTTGTTAGGGAGGTTAGGCTTTGGTGTGGAGCGGTGGGAGACGGTGATATTTATGGTGATTTCAAAGGCCCTGTGTTGATTTAGGCTTGGAGAGCGGGGCAGAGGTAAGCAGAGCACAGCGCAGCCTGCAGGAGGCGCTGGGTCTGTGGGCACCTTAGGACCTGAGGGTCCATGTGCCTGCTTCTGGGTTCAGTGGAGTCCTGCATGTCTGTTGCCTGTTCTGGGTCCCCACTGCTGTTTCATACTGTCCTCTGTCAGGAGTCCCTACTGTCTAGTCCCTGACCACTTCCCACTCTGTGCTGTGACACTGGGGTCTCCTGGGGCCACAGAGTAAAGATCCTAGGTCATCTCCCCTTTCTGTGGCCCCAAGACCTCTTGTCTCCCTAAGATTACTTTGTCTAGGAGCTCTGCTGTAGCGCTCATGAGCTGTCCTGTCCAGGTCAGATTCCAGGGGCCATCACCCCTGTGCCCACATGAGGGTCCTCACCTTGTGCCTTTGAGGACAGGACTGTTCTTGTGTGGAGAAGGGCACATGTGAATGTGTATTGCTTTCCCCATCCGTGGTGCCCCAGCCCTCACCGTGTCGGCCTTGTGTAAACATGTTCCCGGATGTGACACAAGGATTATGTGCCTTCAGTTCTGTTGTCTGGTGGTTCTGGGATTGGAACACAGGGATGTATAGATGTTTGGCAAGCTCTGCCACCCTCCGTATCTCCAGCCCACAGCTTTGGTTTGAGTTAACTCTGTGGTACCCTAGACTTAATGGGCCGTGTTTGTGCCCAGAGCGTAACACTTGAAGAGAGAGGACCCTGGGTGAAGGTGCAGTCTAGGCTGCAGGAAGCTGGTCGAGTTAGTTCATTAGGGAGGGCTGGGCTGCTGGTCCTGCTGGCCCTGAGCTGTCATAGCAGCTTGTTTCTCATGGCTTTGTGACTTCAGGATTTGCCTCACTTAGTTCTGTGGCATAGTTTCTTCACAGTCTGGTTCTTTCTTTCCTATCTGTTTTTTTCTTTTGATTTTTCAAGACAGGGTTTCTCTGTGTAGCCTTGGCTATCCTGGAACTCATTCTGCAAACCAGGCTGACCCTGAACTCAGAGATCCGCCTGCCTCTGCCTTCTGAGTGCTGGGATTAAAACTGTGCACCACCACTGCCCAGCCACAGTCTTGTTTAATGTGCAGTGTTGTGGTTCTTTTGACCACAGCAGACCGGTGGTGAAAAAATGCTAGAGAAGCGCCCAGAAGACCCTGTCCCTAGCAGGTTCCCAGTTATTGGAAGTGCATTTCCTCTGACTGCTCAGTGATTCACTGTGCTGTGCTTCCCTTACACGAAGGCTAATTTTCTGATGCTCTTCTCTTCTAGGTGACTCTCCCAGTGACGCAGGTGAGAGCGGTTCTGATGCATTTGGTGTTGTCGCGTGTGTGCAGATGTCAACATGGGCTCTTATTTCTGTGCTTAAAAAATGTACCAGTGAAATAATAAGGAAATATACCATATGAATTTATGTTAATTTGTTGTGTTTTAAGTTCCAGTCTTATATTGGGTTATACATTTTTTTGTTTTGTTTTTTGTTTGTTTGATTGGTTATTCGAGACAGGGTTTCTCTATGTATCCTTGGCTGGCCTGGAACTTGCTCTGAAGACCAGGCTGGCCTCAAATTCACAGAGATTCACCTGCCTCCGTGTGTTCATGTATTTTAATCTTGAAAAGGCCACATTTCAGGGTTCTTTTCAGAGTATGAAGTTTATTTCTAATGTTCAAATTCTAACTTACCTTTACTTTTTTCTAAAGTATAAATTTCTTTTACTTTGAATGATAGAATAAATTTCATTGTCCTAGTGGTTTGGACTTGTAACTTGTGGGCTTAATCTTTTTATTAAAATGAAAAAACTGAGTTTTAGCCAAGTGGTCCTGCACGCTTTTAATCTCAACACTCAGGATGCAGAGGCAGGTAGAGCTCTATGAGTTTAAGGCCACCCTAGTCTATAGAGAGAGAACCAAGCCCTTTGGGACTACATGGTAAGACTTTGTCTCGTAAACAAAAACAAAACTATTTACTGACTATGAAAAGAATATAGCAGCTACTATAGATAATTTAGAAATGCAGACCAGGGCAATAAAATGCAAGGCACTTGGTGACTGTGTCTTTTACAACTGAGCCTCACATGCTTCTAGGGCCCCCCATATGTGTGACTTTGTCTGTCATTACTCTGTGGTTAATTAGATATTAGGATAAGGATAAGCGTGTGAGTGGACTGTGATTGGCTGAGCGATTGACTATCTGTCTAGGTGTGCTGATTCTTTCCTGGTGTTAAGCTGTTGACTGGATCCATCCGTCCCTTGAGTTTTATTCTTTGATTAGTTGGCCAGTTTGCATCGACAAGCTTGTGTATGCCCATGCCCCAGATGTCTGCATTTAGATGTCAGACCCCTTCTATTTTAACTTCACCAGTGACAAATGAAGAGTTCATTGAAATTTTCAGTAATTTGATTGATGCCTTTTCAAATATTTATATTTGAATTAGTTGGTATTTATATTTGAGTAATTTTTTTTGTTATTGTTGATTTTTTTTTGAATTGCTGATTGGATTGTCACCTGTTCAGAAGGAGAAGCTGGACCTACTGGCCAAGATAAGCCCGAAGTGTCAGAGAATGCAGAAGTCCCCAGTGAACTTTCCTCCAATCTCAGGTGTGTCCTTCCCCAGTGCTTGAAAATGTGACCACTCCTAGGACAAGCTGTGGTGCTTCCTGCCATAGCTTCTGTTGCATCCAGCACTTGTGTGATGTCATAGTTATCTGTACACAGGAAACGAAAACTACTTGTACAGTTTTCTTGTGTCTGGGTTACATGACCATGTTTGGAACACAGTAGCAGTTTGGAGAGGACCCTAGTAATGGCGAACGGCTGTCATGCGCTGATGGATGGCAGCTGTGCTGTGTTAACTAGCGGTTCATAGTCCTCTGCAGAGTATGTTTGGCTGTCATGCTGACAGTGGCGTTGGAATGAGTACTAATGTTAACTGAGGTTTTGTCCACTGTGAGATGATTGTGTGTTTCATGTCTTATTTTTTCCTTCCAATACTTACTTAGAAGAATACCTCGGCCTGGGAGTGCACGACCAGCACCTCCCAGGGTCAAACGACAAGAGAGCACTGAGACCCTGGTAGGAGACAGGTGAGGCTGCCGGGCTGCGAGGTTTTAGAGAACTTGGTGCATGTTCTCTAGTGTGTGGGCCCTGGGATGCAGGGGTCTTGGGCCTGTGCTGAGAGACGGGGCGGGGTTGTAGGAGGTATCGCTGGGAACACTTGCTTTACAGGAAAGGTGGGGTTAGGTCATTGCCTTAAACCACAGAGCAGCATGCATTCCAGACTGGCAAAAGAGAGAAATGTGTGTGTTCATGTTTGTGATACCTCAGAACGCATGGGCCCTTGCTGGGTTGTGTTTGTCTGACCTCTAGATAGAAGACTTTCAAAGCATAAAAAGAAAGAAGAGTTGAAGGCTTAATTGCACAAAAGTTAGAAACAAAAGGGTTTCCCAAAGCTGAACATGCCAGAAAGGTAATGGCTGGGCCTAGAGAAGCTGCCCTGTGAAGAGAAGTCCTTGGTCAGTGTGGCCTGAAGGGCCACCCGTGTTATCTTACGTCTATCTTAGAGCCAATGTCAGAGAACAAGAAGGCCCAAGAGCCTTTGTGGAGCAGAAGGACCAGCAAGGCTGGGATAGAAGGCCGGGGTTGAGGGGTGGAGTGGCCTACAGATCTGGGAAGCTGGAGGCTTTGGGGTGGTGAAAGGTGGCGTTCTCTCTGTCCCCACTGTTTCCTGAGATTTCCCTTCACCTGTTGGGGCAATGGCAATCCAACTTCTTTCGGGCAACTTGATGTTTCCAGATGCCTGGGGCTGATGACAGCTGGTGGCTGATGGGCCGATTCTAATGTAATTGACTCTCGTCCTGCTTAGGTCAGGAAGTGGTAAGACTGTCTCCAATGTGATCATCGACTCACAGAATTCTGACAACGAGGATGATGAGCAGTTTGTGGTGGAGGCCGCCCCTCAGCTTGCAGAGATGTCAGAAATTGAAATGGTTAGTTCACCAGAGGGTCCTGTTTTAGTAAATATAGTTAGAAATTAGGACTTTAGCTTTCAGTAGTAAGAAACTACTTCAGTAGTTAGAAACTATCTTGTAGTAGATACAGTTTTTTTCCCCTAATTTTTTTTTTTAAGTAAGCTGTCTAATTTCTTTAGTTTTTTTTCCCCCTGGTTTACATTTGTTTGTTTGTTTGTTTAATGACTTTGAAGCTCAGCACACCTGATCTTTCTCCTTTTCTGCTCAGGTGCAGGCAGGGGACCTGGAGGATGAGGAGAAGCACGGTGAGTGCTCTCACAGAGATGCAAGTGGCCATCCTGTGCCTAGCTGTGTTCTAGGGTGGGCACTGTTGCTGCTACCATGCCGACCTAGAGGAAACCACGGGACCTGAGATTAGTATGGGCTCTGGTCACAATTCAGTCATGTTTTTTCTGCCCAAGAAATTAATGCCTGTATACACACATAACACACATAAATTTCCTTGAGAATCCAGTTTCCTATGTAACTCAGGCTGCCTGGAACTCTCCATCCTCCTGCTTCAGCCTCCTAAGTGCTGGAATTATAAGCATGTGATACCATACCCAACTCAGTTTCATTTTCTATTTGTATAAAATATTCCCATGGCTTTAAGGTTAAATGTATACAGCTAAATGCATTAAGAAGCAGAAGTTTGTTGTTTGTTTTTTGCTGTTGTTGTTTGGGGCAAGGTCCCCTTGTGTGGCTCTGGCTGGCCTGGAACTGACTGTGGGGACCACTTGACCATCCTCTGCCTCTGCCTCGTGAACACTGAGATTATAAGTGTACACCGCCCCTCCCACCACTGAGGTGTAAGACCTTAGATCTTGTTCTTTCTTCCTGTACTCTCCCTATAGGTGCAGGTAAAAATATGAGTAATATTTCCATTTTAAAAAAGCGTGTGTGTGTGTGTGTGTGTGTGTGTGTGTGTGTGTGTGTATGAACTTGATAGTCTGCTGGCTTTTGTTCCAGCACAGAGGCATGGTTTTTGGCCTCTCTTCCTAGTGGTGTGTTATATACCGTGTGACTATGTCATAATTCATCAGCTCAGTCTCATTGAAGCATATTTGGGTAAAAAAATATGCTTTTTTGTTTATATTTATTTTGAGACAATATTTCTCTGTGTAACAGCCATGGGTATCCAATAACTTGCTTTGTAGACCAGTCTGACCTTGAACTTAAAGAGATCCACTTGCCTCTGCCTCCCAAGTGCTGGGATTAAAGGTGTGCACTGTCACTGCCTGGCAAAAAACAAAACAGAACACCCCAAAACACTTTTAAGTATAATATTTTATTAATTGTTTGAGAATTTCATGAAATGTATTTTAATCAGTTGTGAGTTTGTGCATTAGCCACCATCCACTGCATAAAGAAGCTTCGCTGATGAAGTCTGAGGGCTGATTGTGGGTAGAGACTTCCCAGATGAGGTCGGAGGGCTGATTGTGGGTAGAGATTTCCCTGATGAGGTCTGAGGGCTGACTGTGGGTGGAGATACAAATTTAAAGGGCAGTTTGATGCTCTGTCCAGTTAGCAGAAGGGGAAGAATTCTCTCCTGGGGCTGGTGAGCTTCCTAACCATCAGAGCGTGGCCAGTTTTCTTCGGTGAAATAGGTCTTCAGTTCAACCAGAAAGTGGCTGTCACCTCCATAGCATCTGTGCCAGGGTTGCCCCGTGGTGGCCTATGCCACACTGGTCGTTGTGGTTCACAGGGTGTGCAGCTCAGTCACACTGCTGATGACACCGCCCCCTGCAGCCCACATAGCACAGTAAAGCAGTATTTCTAGGGGAATGATTTTTTCCTCAGCTATTTACACCATGGAGAATTCTAAAATGACTTTAGTCTTCTTGCCTAATATAAAAGAAACAGCAGCTTGGAGGAGCCATTAGAGCTGTTCTGTTTGCAGTGGGTAGTTACATTTGGGGTGTAAATCCACATTTCTTCTTAGCTTGTGGAAGAAGAAAAAATTCTATTTCTAAAACTCCTCTCTGTGACACTTTGTGACTAGCCTCTGCCAGCAGCAGGTGGCACTGTGTTCTTTCTCTCTTGGTGCACAATAGGAAGGCATTTTGATATGGAAAGAGAAAGGATGAGAATTCAGCCTTTTGTCCATCTTCCAGTGAGACCTAAGCATAATAAGTTGCTTCTTAGGGGAATAAGCTTAGACTGAAAACTTCTGATTTTTAACAGGTGGGCTTGTGAAAAAGATCTTGGAAACGAAGAAGGATTATGAGAAACTGCAGCCGTCTTCCAAGCCTGGCGAGAAGGTAAGGAGCAAGGCCGACCTGGACATTTGAAAACTCCTTTAGATATCACGGTGTTGAACAGATGTGAAATCAGTGATCTTGTTCTTGTGCTTAAATGCCCTTCCCCCTCCCCCCACAGCTGACGTTTAGAGAGCGTGGGGCTCTGCTCTGTCTGTGGGTGCTGCTGTGGACTCTCCTGCCTGTTGTGTGACATACATCTTGGGATCAAGCCTTGAGTCTCCATATATATAATCCTTCCAGTCTGTTACTTACCTAACTTTGTGCTAAAGAAGTCCTATTTTTCATTGTTTAAATTGTTTTAAAAGTTCTCTGTTGTGGTACAGACTTGAGCTCTTCTCTGCACCTAGCATGCTGTATTTTATATCAGTCCTACCTGCTGTCAGTCATCATGGTCTTATTTCCTATATCAGTTCTACCTGCTGTAAGGTAGTCATGTTACTCTTTCTTGTGCCTGAAGCATCTGCTTCCCCCTCAAATGTCTGTTCAGTCCGGACTCGGTACTGTGTGTGGTGATCTGGTTCCCTGACCTGTGCGGAACCAACTAGTGATAGTGATAACTATCCTTCACACTCGGATGTACATCTGGATACCATCGTGTTCCTCCCTTCTTTAAGCATTGTACTTTCTGTCTGGCAAGGTCATTCCAGCTATTCTCCTCCCCTCGCCCCTGTTTCCCGTGTTGTCTCTGCCCTTACTGAGTCTTGGGCTGGTTTACGTGGCCCTTGTAGTGAGGCTGACTTCATTTGGTTCCATGGAAAGTCTGGTCATTTAGCCAGGTGTGGGTCACATACCTTTTAGCCTCAGCACTCAGGAGGCAGAAGCAGGCAGATCTCTGAGTTTAAGGCCAGATTGGTCTACAGGCTGAGTTCCAGGCCAGCCAGGTCTACACAGTGAGACCTTGTCTTAAACAAACAAACACAAACAACAACAACAAAATCCAGCAAAAGTCTGGTAATTTAGATTCAAATTGTGTTAGTCTCATTCATCCATTTGTTCATTTAGACAGGGTCTTGCTGTGGAACTCAGACTGGCCTTAAACTCATGATTCTCTCCCCTCAGCCTCTGCTGGAATTACTGCTCTTGCCTGCCTCTGTTTACTTGTTTGGTTTTCATGTACTCATTCCTTATGTTGATGTTGGTATTTGTGTATTGTTATGTCTGTCCCTGTAACCGACTCAAGAGCACTGCAAATGCAGTCGGAGCACCTCGGTGCCCATCAGTCGCCCACGGCCCACACTCAGTCTGCAGATGCAGCATCTCCCTGTCTGAATTTGCTGCTTCTCACCTCCTGTGTGCTGAAACAGGCTTTAGATGTGCATTCTATGCAATGTGTAATAACTCTGCATTGAAAAATGGCACATAAATGGTCCCATAGTTGGTGCCTTTCCGCCACTTGCTTTCTAGTCTCAACACCATGGCAAAGCACTTACTTACCATGTTGGTGGGTCTGGACCCAATCCTTAGCATGTCAGAAAAGAAGAGAAAAAGCGGTTTGTCTGTGTTTTTACATTCTGGTTCATTTACTTTTTACTACTTTACAGCATTCCAAATGCAAACCATACTCGGCAGTCCTTTATTTTGTTCTTGTGTTTTTATATGACTGCTTGGTTGTCTGTTTGATGTCTTGCCGTGTGACTCTAGCTGGCTAGAACTTGCTGTGTAGACCAGGCTAGCTTCAAACTTGTACCACTGTGCCCGGCTCTGCACTTTTCTCTTTGCTGTTAGCATCTCTGTGTACTTGTGCGTCTCTGCCTGTTCCTGAGGGTGAATCTGCCAGATGACATCACCACCTCTCTCAGCAAAGCCCCTGGGAGAACTCCACTGTCTGCTTGCTGCCTGTCTCCTTCATGCTGAAATGATTCCATTGCAGACCTCGGCTTGCTCCCCTTTCCCTGCATGTCCTTCTCAAGGCCCCCGCCCTCCCATTGCTGTTCTGCCCACTGTTTGCACCTGCTCTGTCCTGGCCACCACTGTGTCTCTTGCTAGTCCCTTTTCTTGCTGTTTTCTGAGCATTGAAATCTCAATCTTTTCATCTTTTATTCTCTCAAAACTTTTTTATTTACTGAGTCAATTTCTTTAATAGTTGTTTACATTTTTATAGTTCTTTTTAATTTTGAAGTAACCATAAATTCAGTGAGGTCAGGAGAATTTTATTTGATATGTCAAAGTCTGGAGGCTGAAATCCAGCTGGCAATGGCCTAGTCATCTTTCTACATGCCTAACCGCAGTTAGGCATGGGATAAGATGGCTGCCCCAACTCAAGCCTCCAGAACTGCATTCCAGCCTGCAAAAAAAGATGAAGGAAAAGGCATGTCCTGCACTTTGGCATGCTTGTTGGCAGTTGGGTTCCTAACTGTCACAAAGAACACTAGAGAATATTTTGGCCTCTGTTGGTTTAGTTAACTACAGTCAGATTCCATTACCCTTAGTGAAGCTTGGGCACAGTTTTTAGGCCAAAGCCTTGACAGGTACAGGGTCAGGGGAGAGAGCTGCCTAGGTGGGCTTAGGTGGTCTCCCATGTGAGCATTTATGTCAGGAAGCTTTGCTCAAAGGGAGATGAGAAATGGGGTCCTCCAGCTGTTTCTTCCGTGACATTTGCTGGGGAGCTGTTTACTCCATCTGTGCATGCCAGCCTGTTCTGAAGTATGCCTCTCCGACTTCAGGGATTTGCCTGCAGTTCCAGGTCTCCTCTGCTTAGCAGGGCTGTCTTCATCCACCCTGGACCCTGGAGCTGACCAGCTTCAGTTTGGCAAATGCCTCTGTTGTCATGCCATTACCCCTTCCTTTTTTCCTTTAGATACCCTTGAGTATTTAGTTTCCTAGTGCTTCTCTAGCCGCCTGTCGTTTGTTTGTTTGTCTTGTCTTGTTTATTTATTAAGTAAACCAGGGGCTAGGAGATGGCTCAGTGGTTAAAAGGCCTTGCTGTGCAAACAGGAGGACTGGAGTATGAATCCCACACAAACCTGTACTCTAGCACTGTGGGAGGTGGAGACAGGAGGATCACTGGGTCTTGCTGGCTGTCAGCTTAGCCAGAAAAACCAAAACAAAACAAAAAAACAAACAAACAAACCATGAGTCCAAGTTCAGGAAGAGACCTATCTCTAAAGGAACAGTCTGGAAAGTGCCGAGGACACCCGACACCTTCACTGCATGAGCAGTGAAGCACAGGCGTGTGCACTCGAACACATGCATGAGTGTTCATTACATAAACACAAAATCAAATCAGTGCACTTTAAAAGGTAAACAGGTGGAGAGACTGTACATTTTCTTTTCAGTATACTTCATTCTGGGGTCAGTGCGTGCACGTGTGTGTGTGTGTGTGTGCGTGCATGTGTGTGAGTGAGTGTGTGCACGTGCGTGTGTGTGTGTGTGTGTATGTGTGTATTTGGTGGGTGAGGAGTGTGGAGGCCAAAGGTCAACAAGGGTGTCCTCAGTTGCTGTCCACCTTATTTTTTGCAGCAAGGTTTCTCACTGAACCCAGAACTTACTGCTCTGCTGCACTGGATTGTCAGCAAGTCCCAGCAGGAACCCTCTTGTCTCCACCTCCCCGCATTGGTAGCACAGGCTGCACCACCGTGGGTGCTAGGGACTGAACTCAGGACCTTGTGTTTACGCAGTGAGCACTTTACCATCTGAGTAAATCCTCTTCCCAGCTCCGGGCTGACACTTTCACCTCCTTCAGTGTCAAATTGATAATGCATGTTAAAAGTTCTCTTACTTTTCATAGCTGGGTACTGGGTATGATCTCTTCCCTGACGTGTGGGTTCCTAGATGGCTGTTTTTACTTCTAAAGCAAGTTTCTAAAATGTCTTTTTATCAACAATTTGTACTATAATAGTAGTCACTTCTTAGGAATTGATGAGTCTTTCTTGGTAGCTAATTTGTGAAGTTTTTTAAAATCAATGTTTCACAATATACGCAAAAGAGTGTCTACTCTCTGACTTTCTTGGGCGCAGTATTCTTGACATCTTGTAGGTTTCAGAGCTAAGTGTACGTCCCACTCAGCTCCGTCACAGAGGCTGTCTGTCTGTGTTCATCCCCCTCCCTCCCCTCCATCTAAGTGCTTGGGTGAGTGCTCTGGACCAGACTCATGAATCAGGTGTACCTTTGGTTCTGTAATTTCTTTTTGGAGGGAACATTTTTTTTTTTTTTGCTAAGGAAATACTATTTCTAATATTTCTAATCTGGGTATTCCTCCAGCCTGGCTTTGAAGTTCATGGGAATTAAAGAGATTTCTTGCTGTGCTAATGAACTTGAACTACATGTAATAGAATAAATACATGGATTGTATTTACTGTATTATTGTATTTTATTATTATATGTTTATTGTATTAAATGCTTTATGCATTTTCCTAGTTATATGCTTGCTTCTCAAGAGGTTATATGCACTAGGATTTCTAGCTTCCACTGGCGTTTTTTCCTTAGTTAAAATTCATGAAAACTTTGTGAAAAAAACCAGAAATTCAGTTATCTTGCTGCCTCTTGGCTCCTCTTTATTTCAGTTTGCTGTGATCAGATGTAAATGCTGTGTGATTTTTCCTCCTGTCCAGAGGTAGCTACTGAAACATTCTTTCCGTGGATTTTGTTCTCTCCGGGTTGGTTTAAAGTCTCTGTGGTTTTGCTTTTTTTTTACCTCCTGCTCCTGTTGGTGTCCGGTGGGAACTGGGTGTTTGTCACTTGTGACCTGCTTATATTTATTGAAAGAAAAGGGTAACAACTATCAAGAAATTATGGGTGATATCACAGAGAAGCATTTAAATCATGGCATGGCAGCATATTCCTGTAATGCTAGGAGCTGGAGGCCAGCCGGGCTGCAGGAGACATGGTCGAAAAACTGGAGAAATGTAAAACCCTGTTGTATCTTCAGATGACTCTTAATGAACCAAATAACCTTCCCGTGTTATATTTTTAATTTAGGTAAATAGCCTGCGCTCAGTGCTGTTTAACTGAATCTCCTCTGAGGGTTTTGGTTCCTTGCTTGGTCATCTGGGTTGCTCCTCAAATTCTTGGCCACCAGGTGGCGTGGTATCATCAACCGCATGTCAACTCTCAGAGCGGTTCTAGAGAACGCCCTTTTCTGAAGCTCAGTTTCAGACACCAGTGTTTTTGTTTTGGCCTCGTTTACCTGTGATTCTTGTATTGCTTGAGTTGATTTCTTAGGGACATTGTTTCCACTGACATTCTGTGAGAGGGGCAGAGGGGACATACTCAGTGCTGTTTCCTCAATGATATTAATAGCATTATTATTATTATTATTATTATTATTACACAGTATAATAATAGCAGCTATTATTGTATTGTTATTATTGCTAGGATTGATTTCCTTCACGAAAACTTAAGAAGAGGTCTGTTAGTTTGGGGGAATTTCGGTTTGTTTTTTAAGGAAATAAAGAGAGAGATTTTTGTCCTTGAGTCTGTGGCTGTGCACAGAACTTGATTCCAGTGTCACATGGCCCGTGCGTTCTCACCTCGCCATCCTGTCATTCAGGAGCGAGTACATGTGCAGGGCCCAGGTGAGCACAGATGCCTGTTGAATGTCTGCGGCCTTGAAGCTGAGTTGGTTCTGATTCAGAATGATATTGACATTGTTTCAAATCACAAGTCACAGCAGTTAGAAACAAGGCCGTGGTGGGCAGGGGTGGTGGAGTGGATGGTACCTGTGTCTCTGGAAAGGACCAGTGCAGAGGCTGGTAAGATCCGGTTGCTGAAACAGGATCCCGGAGTGTGAAACTGATCTGTGGGGTTTCAACAATGCAATGAAAGACTTCTACTTAAAAAATTATGACTGAAATACTCTCCTAAGCTATGCTTGGTGTCACAGTCCTGTTATCCTGGTACTCAGAAGGCGGAGAAAAGGATCAGAAGTTCAAGGTTGTCCTTGGCTACATAGCAAGTTTGAGTCCAGTTGAGGCCCCCCATCTTGAAACAAAACAAAACATGAAACAACCATCCAAAGGCAGACGTGCTTCCCCCAGCCCCTGCCTTCCCACTGTATTGCTAGTCAGTTGTCTACCACCTGTGACGCTCCCTATTCCCCAGCCCTCAGCCTCCGCTGGGCACGAGCAGCGCACCAGCATGTTCCTTCCCAGAGACTACTACAATTCTCCTTCCCATCTGGACCCCGCCTTGCAGGAGATCTGCTCCTGCCCACTGTACAGGACCCAGTTTGCTTTCTGTCGCCCCAGCATCATGGTAGCTTGTGCCATGCTTGACTCTGCCCATATCATGTCTGTGTACCATGTGTGTGTGTCTAGTGCCTATAGAAGCCAGAAGAGGGGTTTGACCCCCTGTAACTGGAGTTACAGATGGTGTTAGCTGCCATGTGGTGCTGGGAATCGCACCTGGATTCCTGAAAGAGAGCCAGTCCTTCTAAGCACAGAGCCATCTGTCTAGCTTGTCTGCCTTTTCTTATGAGACAAGGTGTCTCACTCACCTAGTAGGCAGGATCTAGGATTCCAAGCATGTACCACCATGCCTAGCTTTCCCATCTCTCTTAACAAAAGTATTTTAATTTGAGATAACCGCGGATCTCTCTGAGCTGTGAAAAGCACTGGAAATGTGCTCTGAAACCTTCCTAGCTCGCCTATGGGGTTTTCCCCACACCCCAGTTACCGACACTAGCATAGTCAAGCTCCAGAACGTTCCTGTCACACGATCCTTCTCAGTGTCCTTTTATAACTTAACCTATTCTCTTCCACCTTTTATTTGAGGCCATCGCTAGTGTGCGTGCCCTCCACTTTTGTCATTCTGTCTTTTCAAGATTGTACATATGAGAGGACTCAGTTTATAACTTAGCAGGGTTTTTCATTTGGCAAATTCTCCAAGAGTTGTCCAGGGGATCGTGTGTGTGTGTGTGTGTGTGTGTGTGTGTGTGTGTGTGTGTGTTGTTGCTGTATATCGTCCATGGTATTGATATACCATAGTTTATTTAACATATGTGGGCTATTTCTAGCTTGTGACTACTTTTTATTTGTTTGTTTCCTTTTATTTTTATCTTTATTGTGACAGATCTCAAGCTGACCTCAAACTGGCTTTGTAGCTGAGGTTAACTTTGACCTTCTGATCCTCCTGGTTCTACCTTCCAAGTTCTGGAAGCATATGCCACCATGTCCAGCTTGTAACTAGCTTGAATAAAATGTCAATGTTTATGCATAGTTTTTTTTTTTTTTTCTGAGACACAGTTTCTCTGTGTAGCCCTGGCTGTTCTGGAGCTCACTCTGTAGACCAGGCTGGCCTCAAGCTCACAGAGATTCGCCTGCCTCTGCCCCCTGAGTACTGAGATTAAAGGTGTGTGCCACCACTGCCCTGCTATGTATAGATTTTATTGTGAATGTAAGTTTAATTTTTTCTGAGTAAATGCTTGGATGTTCCTTTGCTAGATTGTCTGTGTTAATCGCCTCTGTCGTTGTGACAGAATACCTGAGGACAACAACTTCCAGGGAGAGAGTTGTTTGCAGCTTCTGGGGTTTCCACCTGTGCTGAGTCAGCTCCATTGCAGTGGGGGGGATTGGGGGCGTGGCGAGGCTGAGCATCATGGTGGAGAGGGTGTGCGGGCAGCAGAGCACAGATGCTCACCTGTGCAAATGAGGAGCAGAGAGAGCGGAGATGGCAGGAGCAAGCTGCACTCTCAAAGGCAGCTCCCGGTGCGGCTTCCTCTAGCCAGGCCCCGCCTCGTAACTGTGAAGTTCTCAGGGGTGAAGAGAGACCCTGTGTTACCCAGTCACCTTTCAAAGGCCCCTTCATTATTCAAGCTGTAGCCTGGGATAGTCTTTAGAGACACCCCAGACTGCCTCACCAGCAATTTCTAGAGACCCAGTTTCTTCTGCCTGCACCTGGCATTGCACTTTGAGCCGCTGGCGCTCTTGGACACACTTTCATGGCTTACTACTGACCACGTGTCACCTGCAGTGAACTCTCCGTCTCTTGTCCCTCTTTGTGTTGGTTTGTCCGCTCGCTGCCACTGAGTTTTGTGAGCTTTCTGTGCTCGCTGACTGTCCGTGTCTTCTCTGCACAGGGCGATTTGCACACGTGTCCTCCACTTGTCTTTCCAGCTTCTCGAGGAATCTGCAGAGTAGACACTTTAGTTTCTGATAAGTTCTGGTCCTTGGGTTCTCCTTCTGCCGCCTCTAACTTGCGTAGCTCACTCCTAAAGACTTTCTCTTCCTGCTTCCCCTAACTGAAGGAGCGCTCACTGGTCTTCGAGTCAGCCTGGAAGAAGGAGAAGGACATCGTGTCGAAGGAGATAGAGAAGCTCCGCGTGTCCATCCAGACCCTGTGTAAGAGCGCACTGCCCCTGGGGAAGATCATGGACTACATCCAGGAGGACGTGGACGCCATGCAGAACGAGCTGCAGCTGTGGCACAGCGAGAACAGGCAGCATGCCGAGGCCCTGAGCAAGGAGCAGAGGTGGGGGCTGCAGGAGGGGAGAGGTGGGGGCTGCAGGAGGGGAGAGGTGGGGGCTATGAGTGAGATACTGGTGAGCTCGTTCAGGATTGTAACTAAAGAAATAGACTAGCCACTGAGAAGTGAGATTTATTTAGAGAGCTGTTTTATTTAGAGCAGATTTCTTCAGAAAGGTGTCCTGTGTTTGTAGTCAGTAATCTAGAAGCATGTGGCTTAGTGTGTGACTTTTTTTCCCAGAACATATGATATGACTGAATGATAAATTTGTAAATTCATGTTACGAAAAAGCTGAGTGGGTTCCCCTCCCTCCTTCCTTTTTTTGTTTGTTTTTTTTAATATTTATTTATTATGTATACAATATTCTGTCTGTGTGTATGCCTGCAGGCCAGAAGAGGGCACCTCATTACAGATGGTTGTGAGCCACCATGTGGTTGCTGGGAATTGAATTCAGGACCTTTGGAAGAGGAGGCAATGCTCTTAACCTCTGAGCCATCTCTCCAGCCCTTGTTTGTTTGTTTTTTTGAGTCAGGGTCTCACAGTATAGCATGGATGGCCTGGACTTCACTATGTAGACCAGGCTGGCCTTGAACTCACAGAGCTCACCCTCCTCTGAGCACTGTGGTTAAAGATGTGTACTGCCATGCCAAAATGAAACTGTACGGTCTTTTCTTTTTTCATTTTTTAGAAATTAATTTCAACAGCCGGGTGGTGGTGGTGCATGCCTTTAATCCCAGCACTCGGGAGGCAGAGGCAGGCGGATCTCTGAGTTTGAGGCCAGCCTGGACAATAAGAGCTAGTTCCAGAACAGGCTCTAAAACTACAGTGAAACCCTGTCTCAAAAAACCAAAGGAAAAAATTAATTTCATAGTAGAATTACACATCACTTTTCCTGTCTGCTTTTATTGTGTGCATATGGTTTGAGGACTGACCGTTTTGTATTAGACAACCAATATGGGGGTTCTTTCTTTCTATTATGTTTAGTCCCATAAATTTTTAAATATGCAACTTGATAAAATCTAGAAAAATCACCGAAACTACTAGTGCTGATTGAAGTGTCAGCCCTGAGAGCCTTGCTTGTAAAACCTGACCCTGCTCTACTGCAGCAAAGGGCTGTTATAGGCTTTAGCAGCCTGCAGGGAAAGTTTACATTTGACTCCAGCATTCTGAGGCATAGTCTGTGCTTGTTCCAGTGCTCTGCCCGACAGTAAGAGATCTCCTGTCCCTGCTGAACAAATGGGGCATGGGCAGAGGGAGCCCCTCTAAGTCCTGTGAGCCTTATGCAGAGGAGAGGTGTCTCCTGGCTGGTCCAGGCTGGGTTCCACTGTCTGTGGGGACTAGGTAGCCCACTTCCCTGTTGCCCCTCGCTCCTTTTTGTATATATACTTTAAGGACTTCAAACCTGTCACTGAGGAAATATTAGCTCCTTTTCATCTTACTTTTTAAAGGGAATCTCACGTGGGCTCTCTGGTAGAGTGCCTAATTAGCACGTGTAAAGCCCTGGCCTCTCCCTGGTTTTTGTGGGAAGTTAACAAGCTTGGCATTCTCAGGTTTGATTGCACTGTAGGCCTGCCAGTTGTGAGTGGTGCTTGGCACCATTCTTAGGGGCCTGACACTTAACTGTTGTCTTGGGGTGAAGCCAGCCCTTTGCTGCCACTGGCTTTTGGGTTGGAGGAAGCATCACAGACAGAACCCACAGGACACTGATGAGCCGCTGGTTGTCTCCCCCCAGCATCACAGACAGTGCAGTGGAACCGCTGAAGGCCGAGCTCTCTGAGCTGGAGCAGCAGATCAAAGACCAACAGGACAAGATCTGCGCCATAAAGGCCAACATCCTAAAGAACGAGGAGAAGATCCAGAAAATGGTGCATAGTATCAACTTGACGTCTCGAAGGTGAACGGCCAGCCCTGCAGAGATGGAGCCCTCATCCTCATGATGGGAGAAAAGGCAGGAAACTCTCATTCTGAGTCCCAGTCTGTTGAGAAAATGGACTGCAGATGCCCGGACCCAGCTAAATACAGAACTTTCAGTTTAGGCGCTAGACTTATTAAAAGGCTGTGTTTTCTTACCTCCTGCCAGCTGCAGTGCTTGCTACTTTAGTCTTCAGCTCGCCTTTGTGGGAGGGCTTGTTTCTTTGTTCTTTGGCAAATATGTCTTCTGCTGCAGCCTGTTTAATCCTGCCCCCGAATTTTCTAGCAGGTAAGTTGTGTCGTGCTACTGGGGAAACGACAGGCCTTTATTTCTGCTTTTGAGTCTCCCAGGACTTCTTACCAGCACCGAGCAAGGAGTGATTGTGTACTTTTTGGTGGGTACTTAAAAATAGGACAAGGCTTGAAATGGTTAAGTTACATTTTTATTTCTACCTGAAAGGGGTCATTTCAACCTGTGTCCTTGTAAGGTGCCTGTCACCTGTGTGGGGTTGCTGCCCTCTTCCTATTGCACATGCTCTGGGGCAGCCCCCTCATGGCCCTGCTATCTGCTTTTCTGACCCTTGAAGTTCAGATGCCGAAAGAGAATTCAGTCTGACCTTTATGGATGTTGTCTTATGGGAAACTGTCCCAGGCCACCTCCTTGGCTTTCTTCAGCCTCTAGGGTACTCCCCATGGATAAGCAGCCCCCAGGCCCCCAGACCTTGTAGCATGAAGGGCAGCACAGTTCTTTTCCTCCGTGTAGGTGCGTGCACTGAGAGCTGGGAGTGCAGAGAGACTAAGGAAGTACACCAACTTAGAATTTGTGTTTGTTTTCCTTTTTTAAAGGTGCATAAGTTATTTTTTTATGGTTTATATTCAGTTTTTCGCCTACATAAGGTACTGTAAATACTTCCTAAGGTCTTGAATTATTGTATAAAGGGTCTCACTGTCTTTGGAGGTTCTTACCGGCTGAGATGACCCTCATGGTTCTGAGTATTTATTATGTTCACCAAGGCGAGCCCTGGTAAGTGTGAAGACTGCCTGAGCACATTTTGTTTCCTAAAGACTTGCACACATGGCACAGCTAGTGTTTCTCAGTCAGTGGAAGGCAACAGCCGAGTTCTCAACTGGGGGCCATCGGGACAGTATGTAGACTCCCTTCAGCTGGTAGGAGTTCTCCTGGCTGAAGCACGCTGCACTACTCTGCCAACCAGATGCTTCTGAATAGTTTGAGGGGGAGGGAAGGATTGTCAATAGTCTTTTGTATGTTCATAATCTCTTTTCTACTAAATTGAATGACTTAGCCATAACCCTAAGTGAACCCTATGCAGCTCAAGTTAAGATATATATATATATATAAAACCTTTTATGAATTTGTATATATGAATAGAATTTTATGTTGCAAAATTACATACATTGTATGTGAGTAAATTTTATATTCTGTAGTCTATCAGATTGTATCATAAAGTTTTATTTTTCTTTTATACATAAATCATTAAAATAATCACCTATTTTTCCTATAAGTGTACAGATTGTCAAGTTGATACAAAAAAGGTTGTAAGCTTTTGGATTTTTAATATTCAGATGTGTTGAGGGGAAATAACTTCTCATCCATACTGCGACACACTGCTTTTCCTGTAGTGACTGACACTTTATGAGCCCGCTCATTCTCTGCTGGAAGGTTTAAGATCACTTGTGACATTTCTGAAGGCCTGTGTGTGTGACTGTCTGTCTTGAGATATACAAATTAAGCCCTGGCCTTATTTTAAGAGAGTACAGAAGTGGAATCCCTAGTTGTTTCCCTCCTGTGGTTCGTAAGTTTTCTAGAAGTATGCAGTCACATGTTAGGGACTTGAAATTACAGACTCAGCCGATGCTAATCTGGACTTAGAGGGAGTATGTGGAAATAGCCCGGGTGCAGTGGATAAAGCATTCACTGTGCAAGTGTGAGGGCCTGAATAGGGACCTCACACTTGCACAGTGACTCACATCTGCAGTCCCAGGGCTTCTCCAGCAGGATGGGAGACAGAGACAGGGAAGCCCCAGGGACTGGACCAGCCTGGTCTCTGCAGCAGCAAACAAGCCCCTGCCTCAGATGAGGTAGGTGGAAAGTGAGGCCTGAGTTCCCTTCTGCATGTGCACTCATACACAGACCCAGACACACAGTTGAAGCAGTAGCTCAGGGCTAAACAAGCTTCGTACTTCTTTTCCTCTCAGTGGTCAACTTTACAAAAAGCAATAGCGAGTAAATATGTGAAGACAGAGTTACCTCCCTGTTGTGCCTGAGGTGCCAGTGAGAGTTTGGGGTGGGCAGGCATCTAGTTCTTGTTGACAAAGGCTTTGGTGATCTTCACTTGCTTTTCCAAGCTGCCTGAACTAACCAAGTTCACCCTCTATTTTTGATGTGCACAAATAAGCAAACAGAGAAACTCTTTAGCTGCAGGTTTTAAGCATTAAGTTGGTTGAAGTAGTTTGAAAACATCCTGGAAGTGCTCCACGTAGGCCCTGCGGCCTGCAATGCTGTGCACAGAAGAGTTTCTTCTGGTACCCTCACAGCTGCTGCTCCCCATCCCTCTCAGAGCTTCACAGAGGGGCCAGGCGCAGCAGGCTGCTCCTCCAAGAGAGCTCTCCTGTTGCCTCTAAAACTCAAGACTTTTCATTCCTTTATTTTAAACCTATCAAGACATCCATCTTGCTGTTAAAATTCTTGAACTCCTAAGTCGTAGGAAGGTTACAGTATCTACAGAGCAAAGAGGCCTCTGGAGAGAGTGGACGGCTCCAGTCACCTCCAGACCCTGCTTGCTTGTTACTTTTTTGACCAAGTGTGAACCAAAATTTGAATTTTCCTTCCTTCTGTCTATAGTTTGTGATTACTGGTCTGTCTGTCCTCTGATCTGTTGTGTGTGTCAGATCTTTCTGATGTGTTGTGCCTGTCCCTAACAAAGGGCCTTGCTTGATATTTATTGAGAAAAGGTATTACTACAGAATTTAAAAAGATATTTTACATTGTATATGATATTCTAGCAGTTTCCATTCCGAGGATCAGTCAGGTATCTAATCTGTGAAACTATGTAAACTCTAACTTCTGGACATATCTTTTCTAACTATATCTTGATCTACCGCCCCCACCCCCATATACACACTGTGACATCAGAAACATTTTGTGTGACAGAGAGAAAATTTTGTACAGATAAATGAAGCATTAAACTCGTGGCAAGGGCTGGAGAGAAGGCTCAGGGGTTAAGAGTATAACATGATGGGGGCTGGCTTGTTGGGGGTTTTCTGTCCTGCCCTGTCCAGCCCCCCAGCTGTTTAGGCCCAGAGAAAGAAAATCACACATAGATCTCCGTAAATTATAATGCTGATTGGCCCATTAGGTCAGGCTTCTTACTGGCTAACTCTCACATCTTGATTAACCCATTTTTCTGATATATGTTAGCCATGTGGCTCAGTACCTTTTTCAGTGGGGCAGCTCAGGTCCCGCTGCTTTGGTGATCTGGGCAGGAGTGGGAGCAATCAACTTCCTCCTTCCCAGAATTCTCCTGCTCTCCTTGCATCATTTCCACTTCCTGTCTGGTTTTCCCACCTACACCTCCTGCCTGGCCAATCAGCATTTATTTAAAACATGATTGACAAAATACAGACAATTCTCCCGTACCATAAGAGCATCTGCTACTTTTGCAGAGGACCTGGGTGCAGGTCCATGGTGACTTAGAACCATCAGTAACTCCTGTTCCAGGGGCTCCATTGTCTTTTGAACTCCTTGGGCACACATATATACAGGCAAACATCCATAAACATAAAATATACAAACATCCATAAATATAAAATAAATCTAAAAAATTTAAACTTATGATAAAAAGGAAAGCAAGGAGTGTACCTGTATACCAAGGTCACAATTTTATATGTTTGTGAGTAAGGACATGGGCAAAGTGGATTATTTACGTACATGTGGTATGGTGTGCCCATGCACGTGTGTGTGGTATATGCATGTGTGTGCATGTGTTCATGCCTGTGTGCAGAGGCCAGAGAAGGATGTTCAATCTTCTACACCCTGCCTTACCCTTTAATAAGAGTCTCACTGACCTTGGAACTCCCCCCCCCCCTTTTTTTTCCAGCTAGGCCAGCTGGCCAGCAAGACCGTGATCCTCCGGTCTTGTCCCTTTTCCTCCCCCAGCACTGGTGCTGTAGTCCTGCGTGGCTATGGCTGTGCCACCTTTTATGTGGTTGCTGGGATCCAAACTCAACCCTTTGTGCTTGTACAACAGGCACTCTGCCCTCTGAGCTGTCTCCTCAGCGCCTGAAAGTGGGCCCGGATGGGACTGAAGTTAGGCAACTTCATTGTGTTCAAAAATTCCCTCCATGCGCTCGGGTTCAGCATCTATATCAGTGCAGATTGGGTACTTGGATGTTAGGCCTGTCCCGGAAGCTGGAGAGCCAAAGATTCACGAAGTTACAAAGAATGGTTCGTATTGGTGATGTAATAAAAGGGAAGTGGCATATGGAGACATGTTAATATAACATTGACATGTGTGTGTTCTAGAATTCAAGAGTTACTTTAGAACAACAGTTTGGGAGGTGGCCAGCTTTCAGGGATCTCAGTGAGGATGGGTCCCTGGAAAAGAGTTGAGGTTGTGACTCCACGTATTACTAAGGAAATAGGATTCCATCTCAAACCTGTCTTTGTCATTTTACTAACTGGGAGGGGTCTCACCTGGGAGGACAACAGTGCCCAGCATGCAGCCATGAAAGCATAGCGCCCTTCGTTCTCCTGAGAATAAGTCTGAATTACTGAGTGCAGAACTGAGAGAGTCATCTCAAGGGCAAAGGGCAAAGGGCACAGTGGCCCCAGACACCACCCCCTCTGGGCTGTCAGCAGGCTGTTCTGGGTCCCCTGTCTTTGTGCCCTTAAGCTGGGATTTAAACTAAACAGATTTCCTATAGGAAATGCACACACGACCACACTCTGCTAAAGCTGCTTTTATGGACATTTCCCCTCAGAAATACTTCTCTCTGGAAAAATAAATTCACAGGATGTAATTAAAGCCATTATGTGTGTATGTTGGCTGAGCCTGTTCGTAAGTGCCTCACCAAACGGGCCACCAAATCAAGAAGTGAAGGCGGGTTTTGTTCCTGTCTCTCAACAATGATATTTATTAATTGCAGTGCAGGGCGTTTGGAGCCTTTATGGCTTCGGAAATAGCCTTCTGCTGGTTCCCTGCCCAAGGTAGTGCCGTTGATTCTGACCCCGGTGTGGCCTCTGCAGGAGCCTCAGCTTCCACAACAGCCCCGCTTTGTGCTGTGTCCTTTGGTTTGGGGCCCAGGTGGAAATAAATTCTAAGCATGAGAATAATTAACTTCTGAAAGAAAAGTCCCCCAAATGGTACTTGTGGGTTTGTGGGTAGCACAGCTAAGAGCAGGTACACGCTGTGACTTCTTTGTCTTCTGTTTTCCGAGTCCTTTAGGGGAGCCTTTCGTACACCACACGTCCTGGCTGGGGATCCAGCCGGACTTGCTCCTGGTCCACAGGGAAACCAGAGACAGCATGGGGGGGCGGACTGTGAGAAGCGCTCCTTTAGTTGCTGAGTGAGGAGCCGGTGGCCCGCTGGTGAGGTCACAGAGCAGTCTCTCACAGTTTTTGAGTTGGTGGCAACATGGAACTTTATGGGAGCATGTGACAGAGCAAAACCACTCACTGCATGGGCAGGAAGTAAAAGAGAACGAGGAAGGTCTGGGTCCCACAGTCCCGCAGTCTGATGGTACATTCCCAGTCACCCCAGTTTCTGACATTCGGCTCCTCCTAAGGGTTCTACAACTTCTAATACCACGGACTGTAATATCTGTGTCTTTTGGGAATAAACTGCCCTAGGAGTCTACGCTACTCCAAGTGGCTTCGTTCTGAGGTTCTTCACTGTCATTTGCAAAGACTCTTGTGTAGCTGGCTTGCATTCACAGGGGCCAGTTCTCTTGGAGGCCACTATTCGACGCTCTACTCTGATCCATAGGTTCCAAGGGACAGTGTTCCACTTTGATTGTCCCTGCATTTCCGGATCTTGTTGGCTCTGGCTGTTGAGGGACATTGATCCATAAACCCAGGCAAGTCCCATAAGAGAAACACACACTCATCCCAGCAGAGGGAGAAATGAATGTCTGCAGGAGATAGTTTCTGAGGCAGTCCTGAGGTGAGGTGAGGTGAGGTGAGGCAAGATAAATGCTAGGGGTCACACAGGTGGAGCAGGGCCAGGAGCCCAGGGCCCTGATGGGCAGATGGGACACCTGGTGAATGGGAGCAAGAGCTCCTGGGTTGGTGTGAGGAGGCAAAGAAAGCCATATCCGTGTGTGTACAATGGGAGGTAGGGGGTGGGGTGGGTAGCTGGACTTGCCTAACAAAGGGCCCCAGATGTCTGCCTAAGGGGCACAAGGCTGGCCTTCAGGGGTCATTAGCAGATTTATGCGTCCAACTGACAGAAGCCATGCTTTATGGGAGGAAATGTTACCTGGCAGTGAGGACCCGCATAGCGAAGGGCAGAGTCCAGGGTGTGGAGGGGCTGCAGCCCCAGCCTACCCTGCTGTGAAACTGCCGTCGTGTGTTGTGGCCGGCCCCCCCCCCCCCCGTCCTGGATTCACTTCCTGACCTGGGCTGGGAGTCACTCTCGGATGCTCTGTGTCTGAGTTACTGCTCTGAGAGGTCTTGGGTACAGCAACAGCACTAATCAGACTCCTGACCTTGGGGTTCTGACTTTGGAGGTGATGGTAAAGTGTGGGTCCTTCCATTTGCCTTACCCCAGGCACTAAGAGTGCTGCCAAGTGTTGGGTGTGAGAGACTACCTTCCCTTCATGTAGCAAGGGCTGCTAATCTCTTTACAGAAGCAGATGACCTCCCCAGGGGAGCAGTAAAGGCAGGTGAGGGGCATGGTGGTGTGAGAGGAAGACTCTGCTCAAGCCACACCACCTCCATGGAAAGGCTGTGAAAAAAGAGGGCAGCCCCGTGGGACCAGGGAAGGTGGCACAGCTGAAACTGACTGCATGCTATAGTCACCAGAAACAACTTTGACAACCTGACCCAGGCAAGATTCATCTAATCAAAACCTCTTATTTTATTTAATAATTTTTATACAATGTATTTTCGTCATATTCTTCCCCCTCCCCAACTTCCCAGATTCTCCCACTGACCCAACTTTATATTCTCATTCTCTCTCTCTCTCTCTCTCTCTCTCTCTCTCTCTCTCACACACACACACACACACACACACCTTAAGCCAAAACAACAACAAAAAAGGACACAAAAACATACAGTCACTGATTAATCCCAGCACTTGGGAGGCAGAGGCAGGCTGATCTCTGTGAGTTCAAAGTCAGCCTGGTCTACTGATGAAATTAGCCATTTTAACCCTTTAAAAGTCATAAGCAAACACAATATAATCAACCCCAAACCTTTTTCATCTTTCCAAACTGATATTGTTCCCATTAAAATACTAACTTCAGGGGTTGGAGAGATGACTCAATGGTTGAGTAGAGTACTGTTTCCAGCACCGGCTCACAACTGCCTGTAACTCCAGCCTAACCCCTCTTCTGGCCTGGAGGCAACCTGCATACACAAATGCTCACAGCACACACACACACACACACACACACACACACACACACACACACTGAATAAAGAGAAAAACCAATCTTGCCAGGTATGGTGGTGTACTTTTCCAGCACCAGGGAAGCAGAGGCAGGTTGATCTCTAGAGTTCAAGGCCAGACTGGTCTACATAGTGAGCTCCAGACCAGTCAAAGGCTGCAGAGTAAGACCTTCTCTCCATGCACTGCCCCCAGTCTTTAAAAAGTGTTCGCTTTCCCTTCCTCCTGAGGTAGGATAGAGAGGGAAATTATGGGGTCGTGAAGAGGACGAGGAGCCCCCTCATCCAGGAATTTGGTTGAAGCCTCTTGCCTACAGAGAAGCAGGAATTTGGACACAATTAATGGCTCAAGGCCTTCCCTCCTCCCCAGCAATAAATCTGCAGTTTTCTAGGACTCTCACCAGAAACTTTATTTACAGAAAAGAACATGTACAAAGCTCCGTACGCCACCAGTGGCTCCTGGTTTTATCTTTTCAGGTCAAAATTCCATTCAAGGCACGTCTGAAGCCACCCTATAATCTCATATATACGCACACATATATAGTTTTGGAGCAACCTTTTGAGATCTAAGTTGAGAGCCATCAAAATGATGCATGTAGCTAGTGCTAACGTTGGGACTCCCTTGAGCTACACTTAGGTACGTCTTAATACTCTCTTCTAAGTCTAGTGGTTAAATCTATGTTAAAATATCTTTGATAAAACCTCAGATTTGCTTTTACTAGTCCTAGAATTCTTGTCTGAGTCAAAGCCATGAATCCAGTTTGGCCTGAGTTGCAGTCTCTAAGAGAATAAAGGGACATTCTCTGACTCAGGTGACAGCAAGGAGTTTTACCTGTTCCCGCACCGCAGGAACTCGCTCTTCTGGCAACAACCTGGTATCCACTATTCCATTCTGTTTCTACAAAGTTGATTCCTTTAGTGCACGGTTTGTTCTTTATAGGTGGCTTATTTTACTGAGTACAGTGTCCTCCAGGGTTGTCCATACTGTAGCCCGGGACAGAGACTTTTTAAGGCCCTGTCCACAAGGCCACATTTTGGTGTGTATTTATCCGTCCATGCACATCTGGGTGGTTTTACACTTGAGATATCCGAGCTAGGGATTTGCGGTTGTGGAGTAGAGTGATAAGGCTGGGCCACCTGGCTCTTTGCCCTGCAGCGTCATTGATGCCACCTGTATCTCATGCCAGCGGCGTTCTCTGCTGTTTCCAAGCCCGAACACCACCGCAGGAATCTCTTCTCTTTCCCTTCAACACCCTCAATGCCCGTGGCTCCAGGCTGCCCCACCCAGCTCTTCTGACCTGGGCAGCTGAGCCAGCCTGGGTATGAGGATATGTGGGGGTACTTATGGGTTGCTAGCTGGTCTGCCATGACCACACAAAGATGCAGACAAGTCACAGACACCGTAACTCGCCTCCACCTCACCGCACACGGCCGGCGGGGCGCTTCTGTCTCCGTAAGGCGCAGCCTCCCGGGTTCCCTGGAGCCCTTCCCCTGCAAGAGACTTTCGCTAAGTCGCGAGGGAGAGAACGGAAGGACCCGACAGCGTCCTTACTTAAGAGCTGTTTGGAACGCGATGCTCACTGTGTGACCGGGATAAAATCGAGAGTGCTTGAGGAAAGTCACTCGGTCAACACGCCTCGCCAGGCTACGAGCACTGCTGGTTCCATGGTGACATTCTGGGCTGCACTCGACTTATACCACTTTACAAGGCACCGACTCGGAAGGCACCATCGGAGCCGCACCTTAAGGACCGGTGACGGGCGCTGCCCCGAGTCTCTGACACGACCTTCAGCCGCCACGGGAGGCCGAGAACGGTCTACCCCGCCGCAGCGGCCACGCCCACGTCCCTCCTTTTTCCGTGGGCGGGGACAGAACCTGCCAATCAGAAGTTCCTGAAGCACGCAACTAAGCCTCCGCCCCCAGGGGAGAGGCGTTTCCCTAGACTTGCAGCTTCCTTCGCAGACGCCAACCCACAGTTTGTCTTCCTTCCAGCACAGATCTCAAATCCGTTAGCTAGGCCGGAAGTGGAGACCCAAGCGCCCCGCTGGCGGAGCCGGAAGTGCGCTAGCGAGGCACTTACTGGCCGGAAGTCGAGCCCCGGACACGCCCACCTGCCGGTGGCGTCGGATGTGTACCTCAGACCGGTTTGCTCTTTGACGGCGTCGCCGAGGAGGCGGACGGACCACCGTGGGGTCAAGGCGGAGGCCGAGGGCCGAGTCGGCATGGCAGAGGGCGGGAGCCCCGAAGGGCGGGCCGGCCCGAGGGCCGCAGGTAACGTGAGCTGCGTGGGATGATGGGGAGCGGGGCCGCGTCTGCGGGTCTGTCAGAATGTGGCCCTCGGGCGTCCAGGGCCCCGTGTCCTTCGTCCCCGCCGGTCAGGTCTGCGGCGCCGTACCCGGGGTCAGTTAGTGGACGTCATGCTTCGTGGGGCCCAGGGCGCGACCCCCGCTCTCAGCCTCCGTGGTTAGCCCTCTCGTGGGTTTTTTTTTTTCTTTCCAGGTGGAGTTACAAGGCCAGAGTTGGTCTTGTAACTGCCACCCTGTTAGCCGATCCTAGTCGATGACCACAGCCGTGACACGGAGAACGGATCCTCTTCCAGATCTGAGCACACTGGTCAGGAAAAGTCCTCAGAGGTCGGCCCCCTGTAGGGCAGGCTCCCTTTCCTCATCCCGTCTTGCCAGTCAGCGCCTCGTAGCCACTGGACACCCCCTGCCTCCCTTGACTACCATGTTGTACCCAGAGAGCCTGCCAGTGACACAGCGCTTATAGAGGCGCTTGACCACCTGCAGAGAAAGACTGACTCTCGCCACCTGCCCCAGCATCTCCACTTTGCAGTACTGCCACTGTGAAACCGAGGATTCCCAGGAGAGGAACTTCCTGGTGCCAAGTCCCACATGGGGTCTTTCTGAGACTGCCACGCGTGTGGTGGGGACCGTGCTGTGCCCATCTCTGGTCTTGGAGAGGCACTTGTTTTGTTCAGGGAACTCTTAGGTATCAAAAATCTCAGAAGGCCACACAAATGACAAAGTCTTGTCCTTCCTCCCTTCATCAAATCAACAGGCTTTATTTATTTATTTACTGTTGGTTTGGCTCATGAGGTTATCAGGATGACTTTATTTATTTATTTATTTATTTACTGTTGGTTTGGCTCATGAGGTTATCAGGGTGACCCGAAAAGGCTAAACAAAGCCTCTGCCACCAAGAACTTTGGTTGGCTTTGACTTTGATCTCAGGGACAAACAAGATCTCAGAGTGGACTGCCCTGTCATGCCCTGTCCTGTTAAAGAAACTGGTTTCAGCCTTTCAGTACCTGTTTTGTTAGTGTGTCCAGCTTGGGGTGGAGGGGCTGGTCTTGAGTGCTGTCTCCGGGGTAGCTGTGTTGTCACTGGAGTGGAAGATCAGAAAAACACAAACATGAAGTGGCCTTTTACTCTAGAATTGGGGGAATTTCTGAGGGTGCCCTGGCCCCGGGCTGGTATCCTTGAAGAGAGATGAGCAAAGGGAGGTTCAAAGACCTGATCAAGTCCTCTGGTGCCCACTTCCTTGACACATCTGAATCTTCCCCAACTTTGGCTTTGAATTTGTATATCCATTGGTAACTGCAGTGTACTTGCAGTGGAGGGCATTGATCAGGGGAGGACCTGGATGGAGCCTTAAAGAGCAGTTTCTGGGCTTGATGCCTACCTGTTGATCTGCTGCACATCTGGTTGTGGGATCTGCAGGAGCCACGTAGGTGTTTGTGAACCTTGTGCTGCCATTAGCCTTTTTGTCTTGCCCGTTCAGTGGACTTTCAGATCCTGGAGAGCAAGGATGCCCACCTACTCATCAGCACACTGTCCCTTTAGGAAATTGTTGTTTTCGGTGGGGACTCAAAGGGTATTCTGTTTGAATACGAAACCAGCATCTAGAAAAAGCCTGCTTGTGAAGGGCTGTGCTTTAGAATAACACCTGGTCACATGCTAGGACATCATCACAGAGTGGAGACTTGTATTGCAGCAGTTAGAATTTGTGCTGTTTTTATAATGCCTTTTGATGCAAGTTTTTATAAAACATCAGTCTCCTGGAGTTAAGTTTAGACTTTGACATGAGAGCGATACAGATGTTTCCAAGCAGGTGATTAATTGTACAAATACTCAATATTGACTACATTTTTCTCTCGGCTTTTGATGCCTGTTTTTTTTTTGTTGTTGTTGTTATTGTTTTGTTTTGTTTTTGTTTAGTTTGGTGAGAGTTTTGTTATCTAGTATGGTAGAGCTTTTTTTTTTCACCCCATTATTTTGTTTGTTTTTTGTTTTTTAAAATAGTGTTTCTTTGGCTGTCCTGGAACTCACTCTGTAGACCAGGCTAGTCTTGAACTCACAGAGATCCACCTGCCTCTGCCTCCCAAATGCTAGAGTTAAAAAGAGTGTGACACCACAGCTCGGCCCATTATTCTTACTAAAACAAAAAACCAATTCTCCCTTATGTATATCTACAAATAAATTTTGGAATATTTTTGGTATATCCAGTATCAAATTTCTGAAGAGACTGGCTATATTTTATTTATGGGTAACCTTGAGAATTCTTTTATATTGAATCTTCTCATTCTAGTACATAATATGTATGGTTTTTCCATTTAGTCCTCTTTATTTTTTGTTATATAGGCTGTACTTGTATTTATGCATTCATTTTTTAGTTTTTTACTTAGGTATAATTTTTCTATTTCTCTTTGTACGTGTGTGTGCACATGTATATGTGGAGATCAGAGGTCAACATTTAGTGTTATCCCCATACTCCACCTTATTTTTGAAACTGATGGAGGAGGGTTAACTGTCTATGTGTTACTTTCGTTGGTTAATAAAGAAACTGCCTTGGCTTTTGATAGGACAGCAGCTTAGATAGGTGGAGTAGACAGAACAGAATGCTGGGAGGAAGAAGGCAATGAGGCAGTCACCATGACTCTGCTCTCCGAGACAGCTGCAGGTTAGAATCCTCCTGGTAAGCCACCACCTCGTGGTGCTACACAGATTATTAGAAATGGGTTAGATCAATATGTAAGAGTTACCTAATAAGAGGCTACAGATAATGGGCCAGGCAGTGTTTAAAAGAATACAGTTTCCATATAATTATTTCAGGGGTAAAGCTAGCTGGGAGGTGGGCGGCGGGAAGCGGCCCACCGCTCCTTCTGCATGAAACAAGGTTTCTCACTGCATATGGAGTTTGCAGATTTGGATTTAACTAGACTGGCTGTCAGCCAGCCCAGAGATCCACAGCCCTAGGGAGCTTCCTGTCTCTGCCTCCCCTACCCCTGGTAGAACTATAGACATGTGCAACAGGTCTTGGCTTTTTATGAGTGTTGGGGATCTGAGCTTAAGGGCTCGTGTTTGCATGGCAAATACTACTAATTGAGACATCTTGAAGTGTAATTTTTATACAAAATGTTACATTTGAGACTTTTCCTGTTATTTTCATTGCTACAACAAAATACCTGAGATAGGATAACTATAAAGAAAAGTGATTTATTTAGTTCAGTCTTAGAGGCTGAATTTCATGGTGCAGGTTCTGATGTAGGCACCTTGAGGCAGACACCAGTGGAGGAACTGTGATCTCCTGGCTAACCAGGAAGTCTGTTCTTATAATTACCCTCTGATAAGACCTCACCAGGATCCCAGGAGAAATTCTGCAGACCTGCAGGAAGACACTTTCCCACTGACCCTGTGGCTGCATGTGATGCCACACTGGTTAAAGGTCTGTGTTGTCTCCTAGCACTACCATACTGGGCAGGCCTCTAACACACGGAGATGACTGCCATTCTCCTTTCAGATGCCCCAGTTTAGAGATGTTCTTACATACTGGAGATAAATTAGAGTAATTACATGCTAGAATTTTTTTTAAAATATTTTATTTATTTATTTATTATGTATACAATATTCTTTCTGCGTGTATGCCTGAAGGCCAGAAGAGGACACCAGACCTCATTACAGATGGTTGTGAGCCACCGTGTGGTTGCTGGGAATTGAACTCAGGACCTTCGGAAGAGTAGACAATGCTCTTAACCGCTGAGCCATTTCTCCAGCCCTACATGCTAGAATTTTTGGTGTAATATTTTCAGTTTTAATTTGGCAGTACTTTATGTAGAATCTTCTGTGCTATGAAGTCCTGTTAGCTCATTGTTCAATTGTTCCCTAGTCCATCAGATGGACTAGGACATTTTTTTTCTTTTCTTTTTAGAAAAAGAATTTTATTAGGCTTGATGTCAGGGATGGCTAGTTTGATAAGGGAAATCTTACAGCTTTTTCTTATGAATTGTTTCCTGTGTGACTGGGCAGGAAGGAGCCACTGCAGAAGGCGTCCTATTTGGTTGGCCTTGCTAACGGTTTCCCACACTGATAGGAGCCCCTCTCGTCCTGCAGGTCCTAATCTGAAGGAGTGGCTGAGAGAGCAGTTCTGTGACCATCCACTAGAGCACTGTGAAGATACAAGGCTCCATGATGCAGCCTATGTAGGGGACCTCCAGACCCTCAGGAATCTACTGCAAGAGGAGAGCTACCGGAGGTGAGCTGGGGCTGGCAGCAGGTATTGGCCTGTAGGTCTTCAGGAGACTGAAATTTGTGGTTTGGATTGCCGATTAAGACTGATGCTGCAGGAATGCCTTTTGATGTTAGAGGAGAGACAAAAGGAAGAATTATTGGTTGTCGGGTACTGTGGGCAGGTTTCCCTGGGTCCAAGTCTGGCTCTGTGATTGACCTTTGTGTTTTCTGGTAACTTGTCCTATCTAGGCATTAGTTTCCTCAGTGTTTTTTTGAAGGCAATGTTAGAGATGTCAGTAGTGGCCTTGCCCCTCCAAGTCCCTTATGGCTCTTTAAAATACAAGAAAAGATGTTTTATTTAAAACAGAGTCTCACTGTGTAACCTTGGCTGACTCAGAATTTATTATGTGTACCAGGATGGCCTCAAATTCACAGAGATCAGCATGCCTCTGTCCCCTAAGTGCTAGGATTAAAGAAAGGTGTGTACCAACCACTATGCCTGACTATTTTATTCATTTAAATTATGTGTGTATGGGGGATGGGTGGGTATGCGTATGTAAATACAGGTGACCACAGAGTCCTGAAGAGGAAGGTCATCCCTTGAAACTAGGTGATTGTGAGTCACCTGATATGGGTGCTGGGAATCGAACCCAGGTTCTCTGAGAGTGTCACATCATGCCCTTAACCATTGAGCCATCTCTTCATCCTTTCTCCTATGGCTCCTTAGCCAGAGTAGTTCTTTTTCTACAGCTATTTTATCGCCATTCCTTTGATGTTCTCGTTTTCACTTCTCAGGTCTGTTAGTGATCAGCCATAGGCCAGCTGACTTCCCACTATAGGGATGTGGTGGCTGCCATCTCTTTTGTTTTCTTTTCCTGGCCTCCTGATTACAAAATCCTTCCAGTTACTGAGTCCTGGATCTTCTTTTAAAGCTGAGAGTCTTGCCCTGTCTCCCTGTGCAGGATGCTAAGAGAGCACCCATCATTTTCTCTGGGGGCTCCTTGAGTACTTTGTGTGAATGATATTGAAACTGGATTTCATACTTCTGTGTTTCTACTTTGCCTGGAGGAGTGGATGCCGTGGATTGATTGAAGTCCCTGTGGGAGACCTACACTACTGCCTTTGTGTAGACAATTCCCAAGTAAAGGATTCCTAACCAGCCAGGAGTATGTTCCTTACTTATCCTTCTAATGTCTTAGCATTATTTCATAGAGCACATGTCAGTATTTAAAAACCAAAACACAGGGCTGGAGAGAAGACTTAGCAGTTAAGAGCACTTGTTGCTCTCCCAGAGGACCCAGTTTCAATTCCCAGCACTCACATGAGACATCCTCTTCTGACTTCTGCAGGCACCAAGCATGCATGTAGCACAAAAACATATGTACAGGCAAAATATTCATATGTGAAATAAAATGAATAAACCTAATAAAACTAAGCACAAAATTTAAATTTATTTAATGTGGTTCAAGCCCCTGAAAGACTTAAGCACACAGATAGAGCAGTAGAATGAAAGAGTTCATTCTACTCTACTATTGTGCTCCCCTTCCCTCTCCCTGTCTCTCTTCTCTCTTTTCCCTTTTCCTCCCCTTTCCCCTATTTCTTCCTTCCCATTTGGCCCTTATGTAGCTTTATAGCCCAGGCTGGCTTTGAACTCCTGACCCTTCTTCCTCTGCCTCCCCCTCCTGAGTTCTAGATTATTGACCCATGCCATCACACTGGCTCCTTTTTTCTTAAACTCAGGGTTCATGAATGTCCTTTTCCTTTAACATTTTCTTTTGTTGTCCATGTCTCTGGTGGTGAGTTCTGGAGGGTTCCTGAACTTTAGTGACCTGTATCAGCCTATGTGTGACTGGAGGTAGAACACCAGGACTGCTTTGGAGAGACAATGCCTATGGAATGGTCCTTAGTTTCTGCTTCAGTGTGGAAGCTGAGGTTAAACACACCTTGGTTGCTGACCTGGCGCGTCAGTGGACAGCATAGATAGTTTTTTGGTGGTCATACTGTCTGAGAGCTGTGTCTGGACAGTTGGCTGCCACTGTTGGCCAAGAATGCTGCCCCCGTTAATCTTCATGATCTCCTAGACTCTCAGTTGTTCTGGGTCAGGGTAGGAGGAGATAGGTCACTACTATTGATTGTCTTTATCTGGAGAGGATTCCAGCACTGAACCTTTATAGATGGTCACTAGTAAGAGGATGTACATGGCCCTGCCTGTCCTGCCCTGTGTTCCTGATGGATCTATATAAGTATTGTAGAGGAATAGGCGTTGAAATGTAGGTTAGGTATCTAAGAACTAGAAATCTCAGTTTTAGTGCTGATTATTTTGCTGAAGCCCCTAGTTTCCTTGTCACTGGACCCTGAATGCCTATTTTCTCTGCTTAAGTTCAGTAGGGCAATTGTGGAAGCATTTCAGGACACAGAACACAAAGGACTGGAAATGTAGCTCAGGGGTAGAGTGTTTGCATAATGTGTACAAAATCCTGGGTTTGATGCTCAGCACCATGAGAAAGAAAACAACACAGGTGAAGGTATTCTAAACCTGGGGGTTGGCGTTGGCTACCTAAATAGCTGTCTTTCTTGGGAGCCTCTACCAGTGTGAGAAGAGGGAGAACCGCTCATTTGCCTGGGGTGATTCTCATCAGCTCCCTGTGTTCCCATATAGCCGCATCAATGAAAAGTCTGTCTGGTGCTGTGGCTGGCTCCCCTGTACACCGTTGAGAATTGCAGCCACTGCAGGCCATGGGAACTGTGTGGACTTCCTCATACGCAAAGGAGCCGAGGTGGACCTAGTGGATGTCAAGGGGCAGACTGCCCTGTATGTGGCTGTAGTGAATGGGCACCTGGAGAGCACTGAGATCCTTTTAGAAGCTGGTGCTGACCCCAACGGCAGCCGGCACCACCGCAGCACTCCTGTCTACCATGCCTCTCGCGTGGGTAGGGATGACATCCTGAAGGCTCTTATCAGGTCAGTACTGCCAGATCTGTAGCCTTTCCCCGTTTCTGTACTTGTTTTTCCTACTTTAAGAGTATGCTTGTTAGAGGACTTGGAAGGACTGCTTCATTAGTTCCCTTCATTGCTTTCTCACCCACTGATGCCTTATGCTTACTGTTATTTTTCTTAACTTTTTGAATTGTGTGCTTATTTATTTTTAACAATATGAACTTTCTTTTTTTTTTTTATTTATTTCTTTATTATGTATTCAGTGTTCTGCCTGCATGTATCCCAGCAGGCCAGAAGAGGGTACCAAATCTCATTACAGATGGTTGTGATCAGATGTGGTTGCTGGGAATTGAACTCAGGACCTTTGGAAGAGCAAGCAAAGCTCTTAACCACTGAGCCATCTCTCCAGCCCAACAATGTAAACTTTCAATGCAATTTACCTTCATTTATAGCTTTGGCCATATCCTCTAAGGTTCCTTATTCTTATTTATTTTTTTAATTTTACATGCCAGTCCCAAGTCTCCTTCTCTCTTCTCCTCCTGCTTTCTCCCTCCGCTCCTCAGAGAAGGGTAAGACCTCCCTGGGGAGTCAACTAAGTCTATTCCAACACCTTGTTGAGACAGAGCCAAGTTGCGCCCCACCCCCAATGCCTAGGTTAGCAAGGTATCTCTCCTAGAGAATGGGCCCCCACAAAGCCAGTTTATGCATTAGAGTTAGATTCTTATTCTTGAAATATTAAAAAAATTTTCATGTGTGTGTGTGTGTGTGTGTGTGTGTGTACCATGTGTGGGTACCAGAAGCGGGTATCAGATCCCCTGGAGTTGTTACAGGTATTTGTGGGCCATATGATGTGGGTGCTGGGAACTGAACTCTGGTCCTCTGCAAGTGCAGCAAATGCTTAACTGGTGAGTCATCTCTCCAGCCCCAAAAGCTCATTTTTTAAAAATAGCTGTAGTTGACATTGATTTCTTCTTTGTTCTTAGAGTTTTGGAAGAGGATTCTATAATAACAGTGAAGTTTTTCATTACTGATGCCCCTCACACACATTGTTGTGAATGCTTGCATGGTGTGTTAACTTAAGTTCTCTTCTTCAGGATCCCCATTTTTTTCTTTGCCATCAAAGCAGCCAAAATTTAGAGAAATGTGTAAGTTTGTAATTACTGTTGTAACTTTTGTCAGTTGCCTCTACATTTCAATTAGGTTTTGAGCTGAGTGTTATGATTTAATTATATTGATGTTACATTTTCTTTTGTTTGAACCAGCTTTTGTTCTCCCTTTTCATACTTTCAGTGGCATCTTTCCACCCTAGATGTCTTGTTCATCCCTTAATGTGGAGGCCAGCTAGTTCTAGGGTAGGCTAGTGTAGCTTAGGTAGCTAACTTGCTCTTAGTGAGAGTGTAGTTGTCATTATAGAACCTTCATCAAGTAACTGAGGGAAGCAGATGCAGAGATCCACAGCTAAGCACTGAGCCGAGCACCTGGAGTCTAGTCATAAAGAGGGAGAAGCGATATTATGAGCAAAGGGACCAAGACTGTGTTGGGGAAACCCACAGAAGCAGCTGACCCAAGCAAGTGTGAGCTCACTGACTCCAGACTGACAGGTGGGAAACCAGCATAAGACAAACTAGGCTATCTGAATGTGGGTGACAGTTGTGTGGCTTGGGCAGTTTATGAGGCCACTAGCAGTAGAACAGGATTTATCCCTAATGCATAAACTGGCTCTTTGGAGCCCATTCCCTATGGAGGGCTATCTTGCTCAGCTTAGATACAGGGGGAGGACCTTGGTCCTGCCTCAAGTGACTTGACAGACTTTGTTGACTCTCCTTAGGAGGCCTCACCCTGAGGAGTGGATGGGGGGGAGAAGGTGGGGGATGGGAGGGAGAGGGAACTGGGATTGGTATGTAAAATAAGATTGATTTAAAAAAAAAAACCGAGTTGGAAGCTTTCTCTATGATTAGGATTTTACAATTTATCACTGTTTCATTTAAGTCTTAAAAATTTGGATTGAAGATTTAGTTTAAGAGCCTTTAGCATCAAATATAAAACTTACATAAATAAATACAGTGCCCCTCCCCCCCAAAAAAGAAAGGGAGTGGGTAAAAGTTCCCTTGTAGAAGAGTGCTCTAGCAGTGGGCTCGGAGGAGTGAGCCTTCTTGCTTGGTGCAGAACATGGTTTCTCAACTAGGTTCTGGAAGTATATTCTTCCAAAAGGCTTATATACTAATCAGCTACAGATTAAAGATAAATGATCGAGGAAGTTTTAAATTAGAGGGTGATAAAGTTTGGGCTTCAAAGAAACTCATTTAGGCATATCTAGCATGGCGATCTAAACTACCTTGAGTTCATGCTTTTGCATCTTAGAGAATTTTAAGGCATTAATGTGGAAATGTTTTTTTTAAATTTTTTTGTTTTGTTTTTTGCTTTTTGAGACAAAATTTCTCTGCCTTGGCTGTCCTGGAATTCACTCTGTAGACCAGACTGGCCTCAAACTCACCAAGATCTGCCTGCCTCTGAATTAAAGGTGTGCATCACCACTGCCTGGCTATATTTTTGAATTTTTTATATTTGTGTGTTTGTGTGGCAAGCAAGCATATTAACATATATTATGTAATTTAAAATTTCCCTATATTCTAAACTTTATGATGATTGACTTTTAGAAAATGGAAGCTTGCTCTGTGTAGTGATGAACACTTTTAATATCAGCACTGGGGAGGCAGAGGCAGGTAGAGCTCTATGAGTTTGAGGCCAGCCTGGTCTACATAGCAAGTTCTAGGCCAATCGGGTACATGATGAGACCTTGTCTAAAAACAAGCAAGCAAGCAAGCAAACAAACAGCCAAAAATAACAAAGACGAAAATGGAAATGGTACTGGTAAGTTACTAAATGGGTAATATCAAAATAAAACCCAAATCTGCCTGCCTGTCTGTATCACTTTTTCTGTAGGCATGCCTTTCATCTTTCATTATTATAATTTTCTGGCTCTCTGTAAGGCACTTCCCTTGGTTGTTGGTAAACTCCCTTGCTCTACATTGCTGATATTTTAGGATAGAAGGTAAGAAATGATGTTTCTGTGTACTCAAGGTTATATTGACTTGTTTAGCTGTTTGGGTGTGTAGAGATAATAAAAGCAATAGAGAAATTTAGAAAATATTTAGGATTAAAATGAACTGGATCCTATTCACTATATTTTTATGAGTTTCAAAAGCTGTATTTCCTATAGGTACCAGATTGTCACACTGTCACCCAAAGATTGTAAACAATCTGGGAGACATGTCTCCAACAAGGAAGGAAGAACTGTGTGAGACATAGATTTCCTTTTTCTAGTTGAAAAGTGATGTGAGTAAAGTGAACAGTTTTCTGCTTGTATTCTCCTCTCACTCCTAGAGAGTCTCAGAACATAAGTAAGGCTTTATTTGTAGAAGAAAGGAGCCAATAAAGGATATTTGCCTCTTTTGTCCCCAGGCCTGGGCTGCCCCAAAGAAGCATTTTTGATTCCAGTTCCTTTAGACACCTGAAGTGCTAGAGAGAGATTGTGAAGCAGGACTGCTGGCTGAGACTGTTGGCTATCTGTCATCTAGGCAAGGAAAATGGTATTATCCCATCTTTTCTGGACCCTGAGTATCAGGTCCCCACGAGTTGAGTCCCTATGTATTGTCATTTCCTGTTTCAAGTGAAATACTCAGGTGATGACACAGTTTGTGAGACACCCCAGAGCTATCTGGGGCCAGAGAGGGCTTAAGTATACAGGTGACTGTGGTGACAGATAGGTGACTGGTTTCAGTGAAGAATCTGTGGAGAAACAAAGATCTAAGCTGGGCAGAGACGCAGATGTCTGTTATATAATTATTTGAAAGATTGCCACCAGTTTATACACACTTTGTACAATATAATAAAATCCTGTCTCAAAAAAAAAAAAAAGAAAGAAAGAAAAGAAAAGAAAAAAGAAACCAAGACCTGAATGAAGTACTTTTAGAAGTGTTTAGGAGTGTGTTCTACTCTGGAAGCATTGCTGTTCCTTAGGGGGTGTGTGTCCATATTACTTTCTGTTCCCATCATACGCTGTCTGTAGTTAATCTGCATCTCTTCCTGCCTCCTGCGTCCCCTCACTCCTCCTTGCCCTATTTGGGCTCCACTGCCTTATGCCAAGCCCTGTCCTTAGCAGGTACCTTGCTCACCTTGTTAGGACTCTCCTCCTTGAGCCAGGCTACCCTCCCTGTTGCAGCTGGCTGACCCCTGGTTAGAGTAAAAGAGATAGGTAGTTTGCACTTGCCCTCAGGCAACTGTAATGCTATATATATTTTTTTGGGGGGGGGTTTGTGGAGCATGCCAAGGGCAGGCAAAAAAGACTGGCTGTGGGTCCTTCAGCACCTGTACCTAGTGAGATTGTCCTTGGGAGTCAGGAAGTGGTCAGCTCTAGGAAATCGCTTTCTTACTGCTGTGCACCTACCTCCTGGGCAGGGCTGCACGATGCTGCCCTTCTGGGAAGCCATGCTTCCTGTGTAGGTCCTCAGGTCCTTGCAATTGAATCTGATGCTGGGATTATCCCCACTAATCCCGTCTAGACTGTCTGAAAAGAAGACTCATCATATTGGGGAGCATAACCTGACTGACCAGTTATGGATGTACTTGGGTTTGTTGGTTTCTTTTGTTCTCATGTTTTAGTGGTTGCTTCACCATGTAAAGTGTTTGCATGGTTCAAACTGTAATCTACACAACAAAGTATATTGGAAAAGGTCTAACTTCTAACATTGTCTCATTGTCCTTATCTCTCCTTCACCTCTAGGTAAACATTTACAAGGGTCTATGATTTGTCCTTCACTTTTACACTTTTGGTTCTCTCTGTCCAGCGTCTTGGTACCAGGGGTTGAACTCAGGCCATCAGTCTTGACAACAAGGTTCTTTACTCACTGAACCATTTCACCAGCCCCAGGTGGTAAATTTGACCTAAATAATCTTTCCTAGTTTCCATATGGTGTTATAGTTTATTTGTAAATTCTGGTCTGTTTGGAATTTATCTTGGTGTGCACTGTGATTAATGTACTTAACTCTATCTTTTCTCATGTGAATTTCCAATTGTCCTGGGAAAAAAAGTATTAAAAAGTTTAAGACCAGGGCTGGAGAGATGCTCAGTGATTGTGAGCACTTCCAGAGGACCTGGGTTCATTTCCCAGCACTCAAATGACAGCTCACAGCTGTCTATAGCTCCAGTTCCAGGGGGGTCCAACACCCTCATATACATGTAGGCAAAACACCAATGTACATAAAATAAAAATAAATCATTAAAAACATTTTTAAAAAGTTCAAGACTACCCGTCCCTCTTAAGATAGTTATTTACTGTATATATTTAATTTTATGCTTGCAGTTGGGTCTGTTGTAAGATGTTTTATGAGTTTATGTGGGTCTGCTGGCTCATCCACATGCTTGTGTTTTAGTTTTATAGATCTTTATACTAAGCCCTTCTTATGGTGGTGCTATCTCCTCTGCGTGGTTGCTTTGCTTTTGATCTTGTTTGATCTTCCAGTTGAACTTTAGAACCAATGTATTAGTTCCAGGGGTACTATTTATTTGTAGTTAGCTTCAGTAGTTCAGGAACAGTGTTTCCATTCATAAAATCAACTTAGGGAAAATTTGTGAGATTCTGAGCTTCTTCTAGTGTTTGATGTGCCTTTCTATTTCTTAGGCCTGTTCTTATAACTCTGATTTATTATGTTTATGCTTATATAGATCATTTAAAAATTATTTTGTTGTCATAATGGCTACTGCTTTTCTACTTAATCTTTAAACTGGGCTTTTGTTTGTGTGTGTATATACATACATATACATACATACACATGTATGTATGTATATATATGTATATATGAAGGCTTTCATTTCAGTCTGCTGTGTTAGTGAATTATCTTATTGCTTGTTGTTTATTCATTTCTTGTAGACCTTTTTGGATTTTGTAATCCTTTCCTCTGAGCATAGAAAACGGTTCATTTTTTCCTTTCCAGCCTTGTTTGTCTGATTGCCTTTGCCAGTTACACTCCTCATGCTTTCTGCATCGGCGTCACAGAGGCCAGCATGTGCAGGGTCTGTGCTGTGCTTCCCTGTAGCAAGGGACACCTTGGTACTTCCTGTGAAATAAGATGATGATTTCTGGCTTCAGAAAATGTATTTTATCACTTTCTGTTTTATAGGCTATTTTAAAACATGTATAACTCTTAGCTTTTGCCTTTTTGCATTATTAGTGTTAATCAGTATTTTTCCTTGAGATTCATTAATACAATATATTCTGTTAATGGAATTTCTGAAATTGAAGTTAATATTTAATTTTTAGGGTAATTCCATGAGTTTTTGGTATACGACTTTCTAAATATGTATTTGGACTTTCTTTGTTATTATAATTTTTTGCTTATTGTAGATTTTTAAATTGAGTTGGGTTATTGTATTAGTTTTATAATGAATTTGAAAGTTTTTCTTTTCTTACCTCTGAAATTGTATAGTCTTGTAATTATTTTATTTTTAAAAATCTGGAAGACTTCCCTTTGGAATGTGTATAAATGGATTCCATGTTTTTACTTGTTGCCTTCTCTTGCTGGAAGTACTGATACTTCATCATCCCTTGATATAACAGTAGAGTTTCTGCATGTAGTCTTGGCACATAGACAACTTAAAATACAACTCTACTATAGGTGCTGTGCTGTTGTAATCTATTGTCTAGACAGTAAGGACAGGAAAGTGACTGTATATGTTCATTATTGGTTAGTTGAGTCTTTGGATATGGTACCTGCAGGTAGAGGGCTGACTGTGTGTGACCTGTGGCGTCTCCAGAGGCTCCCTGTGTGACTGTCAGATGCCTTCCTCAGAGTGCTAGACAGGCTCTGTGGTCTGAGTTTGACTTATAACTTATTTTTCTCTTCCTGTAGGTATGGGGCGGATGTTGATGTCAACCCTCACCTGACTCCTGACACTCAGACCCTTTTCACAAGGCGGCTTACCTCCTTGGTGGTCTGTCCTCTATACATCAGTGCTGCCTACCATAACCTTCAGTGTTTCAGGCTCCTTCTGAAGGCTGGGGCAAATCCTGACTTCAATTGCAATGGCCCTGTCAACACACAGAAATTCTACAGGGGCTCCCCTGGGTGTGTTATGGATGCTGTCCTGCGCCATGGTTGTGAGGCTGCCTTCGTGAGCCTGCTGGTAGACTTTGGAGCCAACCTGAACCTGGTGAAGTGGGAATCACTGGGCCCAGAGGCAACAGGCAGAAGGAAGATGGACCCTGAGGCCTTGCAGGTCTTTAAAGAGGCCAGAAGTAAGTATAAGTAGCCTGAGCTCAGCACTGTCTTGTGATCTGGAGTTGACTGAACCAGAGCACTGATTCCTCTTTCAGAGGGCCTGATTCCCAGATGCTTACAGCTGTCTATAACTCTAGTTCTAGGAGACCCTCCTCTGGCTTTTGCAGGCACTTCATGCATATGGTGCCCAGACATACATGCATGCAAAACACCAATACACATGAAAATAAATAAGTAAATCTTAAATAACAAAATAACAACACCCCCCCCCCAAGAAATTCCAGTTAAGCACTTAATTAAAGCCTTCAGTTAGGACCAGTAGGTCTCCAGAGTGGCCAGAGAGAGAGAGAGAGAGAGAAAGAGAGGCAGAGAGAGAGGAGAGAGTGTAGGCTAGAGGACAACCTTGGGTATTTTCCTCAGGCTAGCAGAACGGCAGGGATCTGCTCTCCCTCGCTGCCCAGTGTTGGGATGACAGAATGTATACCGCTCTTGGTGTCTCTGAGAGGGTGAGTCCCTGTTCTTTCATCTCTCCTCAGCTCCAGATGGTTATTTTGCCATTCCCAAACACCTAAAGCTGATGCCAGAAATCTATAAAAGTAGATGTATGCTTTCAACTTTCTTAGAATTATGTTCTCTACCGTTTTGCTCTGCTTTTTGACCTCATTCTTAGCTAATGGTTTCTTTTTCACATTTTTTTTATTTCTTTTTTTTCTTAGTTTGTTTTTTCTTTTTTTTCTTAATTTGTTTCTTAGATCATTGTACCAAGTGAGGGGTTTCATCATGTCATTTTCTTTAAAAATATTTTTAGTATATTTATTTATGTATGTATGAGGGAATCATGTACATGCCATAGTATGTGTGTAGAGGTCGGAGGAAAGCTTAGAGGAGTCCTTTCTTCCTGCCACATGGGTCCTATGGGTTGAACTCAGGTAATTAAGCGTGGAAGTGGCATTCTTACCCGCTGAGCCATCCTGTTGACCCATCATGGTGTTCTCATTCATGGTTCATTTGTTTCATTCTTATTCATCTTTACTTTCTCTGCCCTTCTTATATCTGACTTTCTCTTCACATGTATTTTAATGAACAGAATTATAAGCTCATTTTTTAGAGTTCCTCTGTTTTTTTTTTCCCTTCAAATAGCCTTAGATTGAGTTCTGTGATAATCCAGTTTTTGTTAAAATAAGATCTGGATTTTGTTTGTATAGAAGTTTGCCAAAGAATTAGTAAGTCAGTGGTAAGAGAGTTTGAAATTTACCTGTGCTTGGGCTTGCTGTCAGTGCCCTCTGGAATTCAGAAATTGTCCTGTGTTTATCTTAATTCCTGCCTGGTGCCCTCTCTCCCTCACTCCTGCCATCCCGTCAGAGGACATCGGAATTGATAATCTTATTTTCGGTCTCTTGTAGGAAGAATAATAAAAACCCAATGGCAGATATTGGGGTTCAAGCTGAAGATCAGAAAAGCAAAGCAGCCAGCCACTGGCTCTTTTCTCTACCTCAGACTGAAACAGGAGAGATTCTGTCTCCATGAATCCTCAGTCTGAAGACTGAGCCTGAAACCGGTCTCCCCCTGTTTTATAATCCTCTCTAGTGCTGGGATTAAAGGCGTGCGCCATCACCGCCTAGCCTCTATGGCTAGCTAGTGTGGCTGCTGGGATTGAAGGTGTGTGCCACCACTGCCTGGCCTGTATGACTGACTAGTGTGGCTGCTTTGCCCTCTGATCTTCAGACATGCTTTATTTATTAAAACACAAATAATAGGCTCCTGTAGTCTCTTATTTCCCAAAGAACATTAATACCAGTGTGTATCTGTTGTCTATATCCAAGCCAGTTCATGGAAACATTCTTGTTTAGCCTTCCTCCAAGTTGCTGGCTGACGGCCAGGTGAGAAACAGGCTGATAGAATGAAGCTGCTTGCATTCACGTTTTTCTTGTCGCCTTCTCTTCCTGAAGTAGGGCCTTGGCTGTATCTTTTTGATTTGGGACAGGACTGCCAGCCTAATATCTGAATTCAAGTACTACAAACTTGGTGTCCCCAGGCCTCCTTGCCCCTGCTGGGACAGCAAGAGTGTGGATCATTTGCTCTCATCTGTGGGGTCTCCCGTGGGCAGCCTTTTTTGGACACTGAGGATCTCAGGAGGCACTGCCACCAGATGCACACATGCCTGGTTAGATGGAAGCAGATAGCAAGGCCTTCCTTACCTCCGGGGCCTTCTTGGCTCTGAGATTAGAAATGCTATGTTAGTGCAGTTGTGCCCACTATAGTCAGCTTTGGCCTTTTAGAACTAGGATGGAATAAACTTTTTCCCTTCTCACTCTCCAGGTATTCCCAGAACCTTGCTGAGTTTGTGCCGTGTGGCTGTGAGAAGAGCTCTTGGCAAATATCGACTGCATCTGGTTCCTTCGCTGCCGCTGCCAGACCCTATAAAGAAATTTCTGCTTTATGAGTAGAGTTCAGATGCAGCGCTGACTGCAGTGAGGAAGCCGACCATCTGCAGTGAAAGTTGACGAAGCCTCTTACATCCTGTGAACCATGTCTTGCGCTGCCAACTTGTTCCCTGACTGTCAGTGAAGAAGAAATAGCCATGTTCTCTTGAATTGTGATTCCGTCTCAGGTGCTTGAGTCATTGTCAACTGAGAGGGGCATACAAACTTAATTTTGTTCTTCTTCAATATCTGTGCTGGATTTTTACTGTTACATATTAATGGGATGGGTTGTGAAATGTGTGGAGTATGGGTTGAACCTGCAAGCCTCATGGTAGCCCTCGTGGGGAAAGCTTGTATTTTCCAAAGCTATGCTTCTATTTATGTTCTTGCTTTGCAGTTAGTTGTTCTTTTAAGGCTTAATATCCAAACAAGAAGAGAGTTTTGATAAGAAAACATGTGGGAAACAGACACACAGTTCTTGCACTTGCTGGTCTGTTTTCCTGCCCAGGTTTGTCTGTATGTGCTGTTAGATGCGCATCTCTTCTTACTGCTACAGCATTCTCTCTTGGAAGTGTCTTCATTCCAAGATGGTTTCTTGACTGCATACACTGCCTGCTATCTCAGTGCATGGAGGTCTCAGCACAGTGTCCACAGTGCAGCACCTGTCCTGGCAAAGGTTTTCTGACGGACGTCTCACCCTGGGGATCTTTAGCTAGTGATTACCTTTAGGAGGCCCGCCTGAAACTAACCAGGAAGTGACTGCCCACATTCAGACCAGGGACCATCCCAATAGCACTCACTGCCACTTCTCACAGGATAAGATGACACTGGGGTGCTCTATACAGACCCTCCCATACAGAAAATGGGAACTGTATGGGCTACCTGGGTGGTTCCAGGCTACGCAGTTCCAGCTGCTTGGTGCCCACCAGGCTGTGTCTCCCTCTTTCCGGTTCAGTGCCTTTGTGGGCACTCCTAGAGATTTTTCCCCGTCCTGCCCAGGGTTGTTGGTGAGAGAGATGAGCTCAGTGTAGGTGTGAGGGTCATGGGCAGTTGGGTCAGGAACTACGCATAGCCTTGAGCATCCTCAGGTTGCTCCTGTTTGGTGAAATTGCATTTTGTCATTTTGAAACCTCTTAGGACTATTGTGTGGATGTGTGGTGATTGTAGACTTGAGAATGTTTAGGAGCAAGCAGATGTTAGATCTGTTAAAATTTTTGACCATGAAAGGAAACTAACTTGTACTGATACTTTACTGTTGAACCATCGTGTGGTTTAGTGACCATCTGTGGATGGAGTTCCAAACCTCACCCCAGTATCTCAGAATGACCCCGTGCAGCAACACCAAGCTGGCCAAAATGCACTACATGGAGTTCTAGTGGGCCTTGCCCCAGCCCTGGCCAGTGAGTACTGTGTGTGGGGAGGGAATGAGCTGGGCCAGAGCCTGTTTCTCCCCAATCTCCCCCAGCTGTTCTGTAGGGGGCCCAGGCCACAGCACTTTACAGGGACATGAGTAGCGTCCCCTGTGCTTATTTTTTCAGAATCTCAGCACTGTGAGGTTCTGCTGCTTGTTGAAAACTTTGAGCTGGCAAACCTGAATGCGAAACAGCATTGGTGCTGACTGAGGACACCCCTCCTTGTTTCAGTAACTCTATGAAAGTACTGCATTTTGTTGCTCTCAAGAATGAGGTACAGGTAAGAAAGAGCAACGCTATCGTGAGCACCCCAGGTTCATGAGAGGCACCATGGGGAGCTGATGTGGCCTTGGTGAGGACTGCTGTTTACTCGACAGACTTCTGAGCTCTGGGTGTCTCCTTAGCGTGGAAATGTGGTAGGCCTGATGACACTACTGCCTTCTGGCTGAGCTGGCCCCAGCAAAGGAGCTCAGTGGCCCAGAGGGAAGGAGCCTGAAGCTGTCCCTGCTCATCTAAGGGGAATCTGTGTGATTGTTGCTATTTCTGGGGCAGCCACTTGATTTAAACAGGTTTGTGCCTTGAGTCTTGGCCAGGCAGGCTGGAGTTTAGCCAGTATTGATGCCTCAGAATTTATCTTTGTGTGTGCTTTTAGACATATTTCCAGAAACCTACCAATGTCATACATTTTGTAGCTATTGTACTTGCGATGTTTATCACTTTATTTATTTGCTTACTTATTTATTCATTCACTTATTTATTTGTTTATTTATTCATTTACTTATTTATACTCTTCTCTGATTGTTTTGTTTTGACATTAGGTAAATTTAGGCAAAAATACTTTTTAAGTAGGTAATTAGCAATTTTCAAATGTTGGCCATTTCTGTTATCAGACTTAAGGACCATCAGTTTGAAAGTTTTCCCTCTATTCTTTCGTGCATGATTTAAAAATTTTGTTGCTGTTGTTTGTTTGTTTTGAGACAGGGTTTCTCTGTGAAGCAGTCTTGGCTGCCCTGGAACTTGCTCTGTAGATCAGGCAGGCCTCAAACTCACTGAGATCCACCTGCCTCTGCCTCCTAAGTGCTGGGATTAAAGGCGTGTGCCACCATTGCCTGGCTTCACGTATTTTTTTTAAGATACAAATTTCCTGAAAGAAAAAGTACTGTATATGGGCCTGAGCAGAGGTAAACATGCCCTGACCTGTTTCAGCCAATTCCTGGAGCTGTGGAGGCTCCACTGCAGGCAGGAGGACCTTTGTGCTGTGCCTTTCAGTGGCCTCCAGTGATGTCCTGTGAGAGCTGACATAGGCAGGTACTTTGGGAGTGGTCTGTGTCCCGTGGTCTTAATGGAAGTGCACTTAATGGTGGTAGCAATGCTGAGAGCCGGCGCTGTAGTACTGACCTTGTGCTCTGGTGGCATAGTGGGATCATTGCAGCCCACAGTGCAGCATCTGCAGAGCTGTGCAGTAGGAAGGAGAAGGGCAGTGTGTAATGCTTGAGGAAATCCAATTTCCTCAGCTGACTGGCTTGTCTTATTCGGCCGTCATATCCTTCCTGACAAATACTAGAATGTTGGCTTGAAAGGGATAGTATGGGCTATGTCTTTGCATTTAGAGCACTCTTGGTTGCAGTTCACAGATTTTTTTTTTCAAGTTTACTTGTTGCTGATATCCTGGCACAGTCCGGTTATAGTGAATGTTACAAACTAATGAGACATTTTGGATTTTTAATAGCCTGCATGGTGGTGAAAGGCTTCTCAGCTTTCCCATACCTGGGGTCCAAGAGTATTCTCTAGGGTCACTGTGCATGGCCTAAGAAGTCTAGACTTGCTTTTGATGGACCTCTACCACCCCAAATTCATGAGGCCACCCACAGGGAGGATTGTTTGTCCCCCACTCAGGCCTTGGGAACCAGTGGCACCTGGGATGCTGATGATGGCACCAGTGGTGGTCCATGGGTCCTTTTGTCTCCTTACTGTCTGCCCACTAGGCACTGCCCTGCAGGGATCTAATGGCTTCCATCAGCACAGAGCGATTTCTGGAAGCCATCTCTTTGACTTGGGAGCTCCTTCCTTGTCCTTCTTATGCTCCTCTCTCCTCCTCATACTCCCTCGGTATGCAGTAAGTAGTAGGTCCATGTGCTTAACTGTTACGGATTTGCGGTCATTCCAAGAAAGCCCCACAGATGGGGACATACAGGTCTTGAAGTGGACAGTGATTTGTGGAGTATTTGCTCTACACTCTAGCCTGACAAAAGATGATGAAGTGAGAAGGATATAGGGAGACCTTCTGGAGCCTCAACATGTGTCTGGCATGGAGCTCTTTTCAGCCAGTCCTGGGGATTGAACCCCAGTCCTGTGCATGTGAGGCAAGCACTCTACCACTGAGCTGTGTGTTCAGCCTCTTTGTTTTGTCAGTCTGACTGGAGATTGGCATTTATGAACATGGTTTTCTTGCACACGCAGTGTGGCTGTTTGCTCCTGACGGCTAGCCAGCCCTGTTCTCCCTGTAGTGTCTGCATAACTCCCACTGCTTCTGTTGCTGTTGGGTGTGCGTATCATGCACTAGGGTCTGTGTGCTTGTGCTGGAGACATGCTCACTACAAACCCCTCTTTGCTGTTTGGGGATGAGTTTGTGCTTGTTTGCAGTGGTCAGGACAGATTGTTTTTTGCCCTTGTGCCTAGTTAAGAGCTTTCAAAAGTACAATGACATTTTTGATACATTGTTATAATAAATGCTTTTGCCCTCTGATTTCCCTCCAAAATGCCTTAATTTTGTGGCCTATGTCTCATTGGGTAGAAGCTTCCTTCATGTTCAGTCTTTTATTTACATTCATTCATTCATTTATTCATCCGTTGTGCATGATGTGTATGTTTGTGTGTACATGCATTCCCATGTAAGCTATGGTGTGGATATGGAGATCAAAGGACAGCTTAAGGGAGTTGGTTCTCTCCTTCAACCATTTGATTGACTCAGATAGCCGTATGGTGGAAAGTGCCTTTAACCTCTGAGCCATTTTATCAGCTCCCATGTGCAACTGTGTGCACAGAGAAAGTAAAAGGGACTGACTCCTGCAGGGTTCCCTATGACTGGAGAGAAGGCTTTACTGCGGGAGTTTACAGCTGTTGGGGATCCTGGGGCTGCATGGTGGAACCCACAGTGTTGCCCAGAATTCAGTTCTCACAGCTTTCCAGCCAGTAACATTCTGTGTTGTGGGGAGGAGGTGGACACTGCCATTTTCTGTCCTATGTTATTTATGATTTATTTTGCCAGTTTGAAGGTGGCCATGTGGCAACTTTGGATAAGTCTGGAGGAAATGAACTGAATAAAGGTATTTCTTCATCTTGAGTGTGTGGCTGCCTAGTGCCCTCTGTGTCTTCCCTTTCAGAGGTTGTTTCCATTCCTTAACACCTGTTGTAATACTGAAAGGAAGGAAGTTGTCCCCAGCCTCTCTCTGCCACCCTTCAACCATTTGTGTGGCAGAGGCTTCCTGTCCATAGATGGATGGATGCATCGTCCATCCGTCTTCATCTTCCACGTGGAACTCTTATGAGACAGGGTCTCATGTAGGATTACCTTGGACTCCCGAGCTCCTGGTGGGATCAGAGGTGTGCACCATTGTGCCTGGCCACATAATGGTACTGTTTAGTCTGGAGGCTGGACACTTTGGTTCACTCCAGTGAGAGCTGCATAAGTCAATCACTTGTATGATCCAGTGTGATTATTTGCCATTACTTCTTCCTAATCCCTTTGGCATGATAGAGCTTTTCAAGAGAATGAATGAATAACTCAGAACAACCTGAGAATAAAACACTGCAAGAGAAACAAGGGAACATAGA